TCAGCAACTTTGATATTTCATGTTAGTAACTCCTTCGTGTAGACTCTGAAGTAACAGCCTCATGTTCCTTTTTTCACTTTTTATTTTTTGGGGTTTGTTTTGCTAGAAATAAAGGGTGAAAGACAAAGTTCCGTGCCAGCTGCTGCCCCTGAGGTGCAAAAATGGGGAGGGGGAAAAGGCGTTTAAAAAAGCGAGGAAAAAGGAGTTAAAAAAGGGAGGGGAGAAAGAGCAGAGAGGAGTGAAAAAGAGAGGAAGGGGGTGAAAAAGAGGGGGAAAGGGGAGGATAAAATGAAAGAAAGGGGGAAAGAGGAGGGAAAAAGGAAAGAAGGTGGGGAAAGGGGGAAAAGGGGGGAGGATAAAAGTAAAAGGGGGGAAAGAAAGGGAAAGGGGGGAAATAAAGAGAAAAGGGGGAAAACGGAGGGAAGGGGCGGGGCCGCTGCTGAGGGCCGCCCCCTTCCCGCCCTGTCCCCGCCTCAGGGCGGAGCAAGGCCGCGGCCCAAGATGGCGGCGGCGCCCTCCCAAGATGGCGGCGGCACCGTGACACGATGGCGGCGTTACCTCCTCAAGATGGCGCCTGCCGCGTCCCACCGTGGCCAATCAATCCCCTCCGAGCATGGCGAGCGCGCCGTCCCAAGATGGCGGCGGCCCCGCCCCGCCGGCGCGGCCCCGCCCCGCGCGCTGCACGCCGGGCTCGGGGCGGGCTGAGGCGCGGCGCCGGTCGGGCCTGCTGCGGGCGCGGGCGGTAGGAGCGAGCGGGGCCGGGCCGGGCCGGGCCGCGCAGGGCGGGCGCCATGCCGGAGCTGGCCGTGGACAGGGTGGTCGTGCACCCGCTGGTGCTGCTCAGCGTCGTCGATCACTTCAACAGGTGCGGGCGGGCGGGAGCGGCGGCGCGGCGCTGAGTCACGGCCGGGCCGGGAGCGGGGCCGGGCCGGGAGCGGCGCCCTGGAGGAGCCCGGGGCCGGGAGGGGACCCGGCGGAGCGGGAGAGTCCCGGGGCCGGGAGGGGACCCGCTCCCTCCGGCACCCCGGGTGACTGTGGCCTCATCCCGCTCCCTGCCGCCGATGCCGGGCGGTTTTAGGGCCAAAAATAAATCCCGGATCCCCGGAGGCGGCCGAGCCCGCGGTGGGTGACACTGGGTCGGTCGCTGTCCCCGTGAGTGAGGTCGGCCCGTCCCTGGGGACACGCTTTGGTTCCGAGGGCACGGAACGCCCTTCTGTGGCTGTAAACACAAGCAGCGATAGCACAATCATAAATAACTCCCCTCTTCCATTCCACCCCCGCTGTGTCACCTCCGACACGGGCTGCGGGCCCCTGCTCACTCCTCCCCGTTTGTCCAGGACTGACAGTCGTCTTTCCTTTTAGGATAGGAAAAGTGGGAAATCAGAAGCGAGTGGTTGGAGTGCTGCTGGGCTCCTGGCAGAAGAAGATCCTGGATGTGTCCAACAGTTTTGCAGGTGAGTTCGGGTGTCCTGCCCTGCTCCAAAGCCACTGAATTATTTAGTGGATGGACTGTGTTGTGGGTTTGGAAGAAACCCTTGATCCATCCATGTACAAATCACCTCATATCCACCAATAAATGCAAACTGCTGTCAACACCCCTAAGTAAACCTCACTCACCTTTAGCAGCCAAAAATACCCAGATCCAGAGCATTTCAATAAACATTTTAATTCAGGAAGTTGGATTCTTAAACGCTGGTGTTTTGTTTTACTCCCAGTACCCTTTGATGAGGATGACAAGGATGATACCGTGTGGTTCCTGGACCATGACTACCTGGAGAACATGTATGGAATGTTTAAGAAGGTCAATGGTGAGTTGAGATCTTCTGATAGTCAGGGATACGCTCCTAAAAACTTTCAGGGCTGTGGAAAAGGGAATTCCTATAAACCACAGAATCCTTAAGGCTGCAAAATACCTATAAGATCATCAAGTCCAGCCATCAGCCAGCACCGTGTTCTCCACTAACTGTGTCCCACATCCACATGGTTCTGAACACTTCCAGGATGGGACTTGCACGTCGAGATGTCAGATGTGCAGGCTGTCAGACCCTGAGAGCCACACAATTAACAGAAGCTGTTAATTGCCAGGAGAAAAGCTGTGGGTCAGTGACAGTGATGAGTGAGTGCAGTCACTGCTCAAGCCATGGCCTTGAAATCCACTTCCCTCTCCCCCACACAGATCAGGCTCTCCCCCTCCATCAGCCCACCCAGTCTCTGCCCAGGTGTCTCTGCTGGGGCCTCCCCCAGTTCTGATTCCCAATCCTTTCTGCTTTTGCTCAGCCAGAGAAAGAATCGTGGGGTGGTACCACACGGGCCCCAAGCTGCACAAGAACGACATCGCCATCAACGAGCTGATGAAGAGATACTGCCCCAACTCTGTAAGTGGAGCCACCTTTGGCCTGTGGGGTTGTTCCTGCCTCTCTTTCCCTAAAAAGGGCATCTGGGAAACCTTGTCCCTCACCTTTTTTGCTGGTGACACAGTTGTGAAGTGATTGAGGAACTGGGATCAGGAGTTTTTTGAATCATTGTCTCAGTGCCTGAGGTTACGCCTCTGAGCCTTGTGCTGGTGCTGAGGAGGCAAGAGCTGGCTTGGGTATTTTTTTCCTACTCCTCGACTGAAATCCAGTTCTCTGCATGTTTTCTTTCTCCCCGAGGTGCTGGTGATCATTGATGTGAAGCCAAAGGACCTGGGGCTGCCCACAGAAGCCTACATCTCCGTGGAGGAGGTCCATGATGTGAGTGTTCACTCTGTGAATGTCACAGTCACAGCTGGGAGCTCCTGGAGGCTGCCCCTCGTGGGTGGCACTGGCTGCAGGTGCTCCCAGGTGTGCCCAGTCACTGTGGGCCTGCCCTGAGCAGCTCACACAGACAAACAACACCCAGCAGTGACTCACTGTAATTGTGGCATTTAAATTATTCTGGATGCGTATAAAATATTGCATCTTTTTGCGTTTTTGAGGCCTTCACTGCAGAGCAGGAGCTGCTCTCCCAAAGTACAAGGAGGTTGGATCAGGGAAGAGAGAAATAACTGTGATATTTAGATTTTCCATTGCTCCTCCCCTGGGCACAGATCAGCAAAATGCAGAAATGGGAAGTCAGCCAGAGCAAGATTGCTGGGGCAGTCAGTGACACTGATTAAATCAGGGAGATCCCAGCTCCAGCTGTTCCTCTCAGCTCCTTGTGTAGGGCTGCTTTTCTGGTTTCCTCGGTGCAATCCCTCATCCCCTGGCTGAAATCCCCCATTTGTGTGTCCCTTTAGGACGGCACCCCGACCTCCAAGACCTTTGAGCACGTGACGAGCGAGATTGGTGCTGAGGAGGCCGAGGAGGTGGGAGTGGAGCACCTGCTGAGGTGAGGGCACAGCTGTCCCGGGCCCTGCCACGCTCCCAGCGGCGTTCCCACTGCCCGAGGAGCACATCAAACACATGGCACAAATCCTGGGAGCCTGGGGGCCATCGGCCCTGCTCACACGGCTGGAAAGGCCCAAGGGCTGAGGTTCTAATCCCCATTCTCTCTGGGTTTCAGGGACATCAAGGACACCACGGTGGGCACGCTGTCCCAGCGGATCACAAACCAGGTCCATGGCTTGAAGGGACTGAACTCCAAACTTCTGGACATCAGGAGCTACCTAGAGAAAGTAGCCCTGGGCAAACTCCCCATCAACCACCAGATCATCTACCACCTCCAGGACGTCTTCAACCTGCTCCCAGACGTGAACCTGCAGGAGTTTGTCAAGGCCTTTTACCTGAAGACCAATGACCAGATGGTGGTGGTGTACCTGGCCTCGCTCATCCGCTCCGTTGTGGCCCTGCACAACCTCATCAACAACAAGATTGCCAACAGGGATGCGGAGAAGAAGGAAGGACAGGAAAAAGAAGAAAGTAAAAAGGAGAGGAAAGATGAGAAGGAGAAGGACAAGGAGAAGAGTGATGGCAAGAAAGAGGAGAAAAAGGAGAAGAAATAAAAGGTGTAGCTTTTTTATTTGTAAATTAAAAATCTTGTAAACTAAATCCCTGGTGCTGGGGTCTTGTATGATGTGCTCAGCACTCTGCTCCTCCTCACCCGGGCAGGGTTGGGGGGAGCCATGTGCAGGTTTTTGATGTGATTATGCTGTTAGACAGCACTTCTCCTTCCGCCAGTGTGTCTTTGGGGGTGTTGAGGCCTCAGCTCACGCACACTCTGCTCTCACTGAGCATATCCCCATGTTCAGGGCTAATCCTTTGCCATCAGCCAGTTTTGTGCACCACAGCCATCCCCATGTTTAACTGGCTCTGTGCCCCGGCCCCTCAGGGTGTGGCTCAGCTGGGATGTTGTCACGGCTGTCACACCTCTGCGCCTCCCTGGGGACGGCGGTGGTGGCCCTGTCACCCCTGGCCAGCTCTAGGGGCTGCAGGAGGCTGTGAGCCTGGGGAGGCACTGGGTGCCTGACACAGAGCAGGCAGGGACAAAATCCATGGGATTTGTGATCCCAGTGCTGAGCTATGGATGCCATTATGGCCCTGGGGCCCCAGCCCTGCACAGACCCCACCCTGGGAGACACACACTGACCCAGGATGTGCTGACCTGGGATATAAGGGACCCGGGGCACACACAGGGACCCAGCACACAGGCACACCTCGGCAGCTGCTTTGTCGTTTATTGCACACGAAGCCGCGCGGGGCCGTGCGGGACCGGCCGTTCCCAGCCCGGAGCCGTTGCAGGTCCCGTCCCCACAGCCCCCGGACACACGGACACAGCCACGCCGGGTCTGTCGCCCGCACACACGGGGAGGGACACAAGTGACAGCCAGGTGATCCTGCCCTCCTCGCTGCAGAGGGGACACAGGAGCGTGGGCAGAACCCAGGATCTGAGCAAAGGCCGGCAGGGCCCCAGCAGTGCCCGGAGCCCCCGGGGCCGCTGTGGAGCACCAGCTCGGCTCGGAGCAGAAACCACATCATTTACATACAACTGCCCAGGGGCCACGGGCTGCACATGGGGACGCGCCAGGGACATGCTCAGCCAGGCTCTGGCTCCAGAGGCTGCGGATCTGGCCTAGCAAGGGGCTGTCCTGGTGCTCAGATGGAGCACAAGAGCCCCTCAGAAGCATCGTCTTGGGGGTCCCTGTCACTGTTGCTGAATGCTGGCTGCAGGATGGGGCCCAGAAGTCAATCTGAGTGTCATTTCCCCCTCACCTGCCACTACCAAAATGCCATGAAAAGGCAGAAAACACGAGGGGGAAGAGGAGCATCTACCAAACACGTAACTGTGTCTGTGGAGAGGGCTGGGGAGCCCCGGTGCCCCCTGTGCTGCCCCCCAGCCCCTCTGCGCCAGCCCGTGCAAGCCAAGCCCTCGTGTCCTCCTCTCCATCACAGCTCAGATTTCCTTAGGGAGGGAAACACAGCCCCGTTCCCCCGGGGCCGTATCAGTGCAGAGCTCGCCCAGGAGCAGAAGCCACAGTGTCCATGGGGAGCACACCCCGGGCAGGGCTGGGCCCTGGGCACCAGCCGGCAGCGCTCCGGGAACGCCCCACAGCTCCATCACTCCTGTCCAAAGCCTTCCGTCTCCTCGATGGCGTAAAGCAGCTTCTCCTTCAGCTGTTCATAGCTCTTGTAGGGAGGGAGATCCAGGCGGTTGAAGCTGGGGAGAGAGCCGAGGCTGGGCAGGCCAGGAGCAGCAGTCCCACCCCATGGGATGGAGCCCCGAGCAGCCCCGCAGAGTCCCCCCTGTCCCCACACTCCTGCCAGGCCCAGGGGCAGTCACTTACCACGTGTGACTCCGTGGCAGCCACGTCTCTTTGCCAACTTTATCGATGCAGAATTTCTGGGGCCCGTTGCTGCCTGTTAATGAAGAACGCAGCAAAGCTCTTTACATGACCAGGAGCTGAAAAAGAAACCCCTCCCACTCACACTGAGATCTACCTCATGGCCCTACAATCCCAGGGTCACACAGGGCATAAATCCCTGGCAGCAACCCCTGCCTGTTTGCAGAGAGGATGTTCAAAAAACAGAGGAGAAAGCAAAAACCAGCACAGAGGGGCAAGAGCACCACCTCTGAACATGATGGTTCCATACCAAGTGCTAAAACTCATTCATCTGTAAGCCCTGAGGATTGTGCGAGTCCATCCAAGAGTTTTAAAGGACCTGGCACAGCAAATCTGAGTCACTGAGGTGGCTTTTTAACACAGTGGGAATGCTGGAGAGATTCCAGGGGGTGGAAAAAGCTAATATGCCAGCAAGAACAACTCAGTGGGTTAAGCAAGCTGGTTGGCTTAACACAGATGCCAAGAAAGTCAGGGAAAGGCTGGTATAGGCCCCAAAAAGCAGTAAATTAAAGGAGTGGAACCACACTGTGGTTTTCTGAAAAAGAGGCTTTGTCGCACAAGAATGAAAATTGAATCAGAAATCAAATCTCATTCAGACTGAGATCACAAACCAGCCCAACAAAGTTAACCCTGGTGGGACCCTTTGGTCGCGGCCAAGGAACGTCTGTGGAAATGGCACAAGACCAGAGCACTGTGCTCAGACCTCACAGCTGCTCCGTGCTGCTGTGAGCTCTGTGTGGGGACAGGGACAGGGACAGGGAGGTGCCACCCCCCCAGGACACACCGATGAGCTCAGCAAAGCCCCCGACGGGCAGGCGGCAGGTCCCCGTCACGAACTGCAGCAGCCGGATCCTCTTCTCGTTGTCCATCTCCTTAACCACCTGCAGCAGGAACGCAGCAGCTGAGTGGGATCCTGCTCCCACCCTGCAGGATGGCTCCTGCCGGGGCACCCCACGCCCTCAGCTGGGCTCACACTGACCTGCCAGAACCACTGGATCTGTTTGCTGTTCTTGGTGTAGTGCCTGTAGATGGTATTTTTCTGCCAGTCGTTCATGTCGATCTCCTGCATCCCGCACAGCATCAGCTGGGGACAGGGGACACTCAGCAGGGGACAGACAGAGCCCTGCACCTGTGCTCTGAACGCCAAGCCCTCTGGTGCCAGCCTTCACCTGGCCCAGGTGCCAGCACTGAGGTGTCTGGCACTAATTCCTCCCATCCAACGGGATGTTCTCTTGCCAAGGACACAGCGAGCCACCCCCAGACCCAACACCCGGGGCTGACATCAGCTGATGGGCACAGAGCATGAGCAGGGTCACCACGTGCCACCTCCCACCCACACCCCCAGCCCAGGTGCCAGCTCACCTCCAGCTCCTTCTCGTCGAAGTAGCGCAGCCACTCCAGCGGCACCACCTCGTTGAAGCCGTCCAGGAACGCCTTGGTCTGCTCCTCCACGCCCCGAGTGAACCTCCAGTCCGTCAGCAGCCTGGGGAGGCAGAGGGCTCGGCACAGAGCCAGCACCGCTGGCCCGGCCTGGGGAAGCCCAGGATCCCTCCCACCAGCAGGGAGGGCCCCGGGAGTGTGGGGAATGGGAGAGGGGCTCCCTCAGAGCACCAGGGCTCCCCTCAATCCCCACTGCTGGGTTTCTGTCTCTGCCCCCAAACCCGTGAGCAGCGTTCAGCCCCGAGAGCAGACTTAGGAGCTCCTGGGGTGCAAACCACATCCCCTGGCTGGAGCTGAGCTGGCCCTGGCAGCCCCCAGGCAAGCAGGGGGAACAGCCATGGGATGGGAAAGCAGCCTCAGCCTCTCCCCTCTCCTTTTTCCTGAAAGTACTGGCAACTGCCCAGCCCTCAGCAATCCAGACCGCAGCAGAGCTCGGCCAGCCGCGCCAGCCCGGGCCCGTCACAGCCACGTAGCCCAGGGAAGCGGCCACGTCCCAAGGCCCACGGTCCCACCCCTGCAGCCACTGGGGGCGGGTGCCTGACAGGACCCTGGGGACAGCCACTCACATGATGTACTCCTCCTTGTTCTCCTCCGTCACACGGATGCTCTCACCGCCCTCCTTCAGCTCGTGGGTGGTCACCTTGCCCAGGATCTCCATGTCCTGGATGAAGTACAGCTCCAGGCCGCACTCCTCCAGGCTGTTCTCCCTGGGGGAACACCGGGATGAGATTTGTGCTGGAGGCACCCAGCAGCAGGGAGGGGCTGTGGGGAGAGCTCTGCAGGAGGGAGGGCAGGGCACTCACTTGGTCCACACGATGGAGTTGTAGAACTCGGGGTCGATGGACTCCAGGTCCTTGAGCGTCGGGCGCTTGTTCAGCATCCGTTTGTAGAAGGGCAGCGTGAAGCCGGTATCGATGAACTTCCCGTGGTACAGAGCCTGGGCAGGGAGGGGACACCAGGTCACGGGGAGCTCTGGGACACAGCCCTGGGGCAGACAATGCTCCACCCCGGGCAGCCATGGGGCAGAAGGGACTCACGTAGGGGTTCCTGACCTATGGCACTCGCTCCTGGCTGGCACACATGAAGGGCAAGGGTGGGCTGCCCCCACAGCACTTCCCAGGCCGGGTGGGCTGCAGCCCCTCTCCCTCGCCACGGCAAATTCCACTGCATCTCCCTCTCCCCTCACAGCTCTATTAAGAGCACTTGTTTAAACAGAGCTGTGCTGTGGCTTCCCTGAATCCCTGGCTTCCAGGAGCCCCGAGGCAAAGGCAGCCAAAAATAATGCAGACGCTTGTCTAGAACGGCCCAGCGGTGAGTAATAGTCTGGGGTTTTATTGGTATCCTGCGAGGCGGGGCAGGGCAGGGCAGGACAGCGGGGCCGGGGCCGCCCCCACACACACCCTGCCCGTGGGGCTGCGGGCCAGGGACCCTGCCCGGCCTGGGGGAGCCCAGCAGCCCCCCTGCCAGCCCGGGCACACTGGCCTTGAGCAATCCCACACAAACGGGAGGAGCTGCTCTGGAGCTCGGGCAGCTGGAAAATCTCACACTGCTGGGACTAAAAATAGTCCCTGGAGCTGCAGACCCGACAGCACCTGGGGTGACAGCCAAAGACCTGGAGCCATCCATCCCCGCCACAATCCTGGGAAACCAGGCCTCCTCTGGCCCCACAGCCTTTCAGTGGATTTAAAATGCATCACCCCACAGCACCCCCTTAAAGGCTCATCTCCCACTGCTCCACACGTGGGCAGGACGGGGCTCAGGGAGGGCAGCAGTGCCGGGCCCAGCACAGCCACGGCACACAGAGCTGCCCCACGCCCTGCTCACCACCCTGTCCCCTGCTCTGCAGGGGGACACAAACCCCTGGTGCCATACCCTGACAAACCCCTGGTGCCATCACCTGACACATCCCTGGTGCCATCACCTGACAAACCCCTGGTGCCATCACCTGACAAACCCCTGGTGCCATTCCCCTACAAACCCCTGGTGCCACCCCCTGACAAACCCCTGGTGCCACCCCCGGCTCTCACCATGGCGATGAAGCGGCCGATGAAGCGGAAGTAGGTGAGGTGGTCGGGGTTGATGGAGGAGGCAGGGTTGATCTGCAGGCAGTAGTTGTTCTTGCCTGCATACTCAAAGAGGCAGTACATGGGGTTGAGCACCTCGTGGGACAGGAGGAAGAACCACTCCCTGGAAGGAGACAAGGGAACACGGTGACAAGGAGCTCAGGGAGGGGTCAGTGCATGTCCCTGCACCAGTGGGTGCCCGCCTCAGGCAGGTGCCGGGCACTGGTGTGACTGGGCGAGGCTGTTCCCCTCCCCGGGGTGCTGTGTGGGGTTTGTGAAGGGTTTCTGGAGATGCCAGCTTGCCGCAGGCCCCACTCAGAGCATCGGGAACCTCGGCAAGTGCCCCACACAGTCCCAGCTGGGCTGTCCCACACACACACACACCCTGAGTGCACCCAGTCCCTCCACACGCACTGCCCCGGGAGCCCCACGCCAAGCTCGGGCCAGCACCATCCTGGCTTGGCTCCCCCGGCCGTGCAGGCAGACAGGAATCCTCAGACGTGGAGGCAGCCCCGGCATCCTGTCCGTGGTTCTACCCTGTGGTAGAACAGCATGACGTAACCTACCATAGGGTAAAACCACTGGCAGGACACGGAGAGAGGTGGAGCAGGAGCAGCAGCCGGGGTAGCAGCCCCATGAGGGGCAGCAGGTGAGCGTGGGCTGGCAGCGGGCAGGGACACGCCAACCCAGCTCCAAGGAGATGTCCCAGGTGAGCCAGAGGGGGTTCACAGGGACACAGGATCCCCTCTAGCCAAGCCACAGCCCATGCCCTGTGATAACATCATCCCAGGGCAGCAGCAGGGCTGCAGAAACCACATCGCACCCTGTCTGCCCTGGCACACACTGACTGTCTGGGAACACCAGGGCCTGTTTGCTGCAGGGAGACAAGGCCACTCAGCCCATCACATCCACAAGTGGGGACACCAGGGGAGCCCCAGCTCCTGCCAGGGACAGGCTGGGGTGATGCTTTCAGAAATGTTCTACCACTCCGAAAAGCCAGTGCCCACTGGAATCCCCCTGGACTCCTCTGCTCCAGGGCTGGGAGCCCTGAGTGCAGCTGCCTTATGTGTGCACTGCCCACAGGACATGGGGCACAGCCAGGGCATGGCCCTGTGGCCCAGCAGGCCACACTCACCTGGCGATGCCACCGTAGTCCAGGCCCTCCTCCCCTCTCATGATGATGTACAGCCGGCGCCGCAGGTCATACGGCTTCATGTTCATGATCTGGGGACGAGCAGGGCAGTGTCACCATGGCTGGGGCCAGCGCCAGTCCTGCAGGCCAGCTCCATTCCTGCAGGCCAGCTCCATTCCTGCAGGCCAGCTGCACTCCTGCCCGGCTCCACAGCCCCAGCACCTCCCTACCTGCTGGAAGGAGTCCTCGAAGAGCGTCTGCCGAGACACGCTGATCTTCACGTGGCTGGGCAGCGCGTTTGACTGCAGGCAGGGCAAAGGGCAAAGGGCTGTGTGAGGCTGGCACGGTTCTCCTCACCCACACCTGCCCACAGGGCTCAGGGCACCCACACAGCTGCCCACAGCAGCTCTACTCACGTGGCAGAGGAAGCGGAACTGGTGGTACTTCCAGCGAAAGCTCCGGTCGTAGGCGCCCGGGGAGCCGCCGTGCTTGCTCCTGCCAAAGCAGCAGGGCCCCGGTCACACCCCATGCTGCCCTGTCCCGAGCAGCCCCCGTCAGGAGCCGGGTGGGATGAGGGTCACTGGGGCACAGCTCTCCTCGGTCAGGGCCCACAGGAGCCCCAGAGGTGCTGCTCAGGGCTTACCCCGACTCGAAGCCCGGGCGCGGGTCCTTGAAGGTGGTGGTGCGGGTGTTGTGGTCCACGAAGTAGCGCACGCTCTCGTTCGTGTACTTCATCTCCCAGCCCGGCGGCAGCGGCGGCTCCTGGATCATCCTGCTGGCAAGGGAGGGCTCACCAGACAGGCCTTTGGGGCCCCCCTCAACTACAGCTCTGTGCCAGGCACAAGGAAGGATTCATGGCATGGGACTGGCGAGCGACTGTCCACACCCCAGGAGAGGAGTCCTGCCTGGGCAGCACTGCGGCCACGGCACTGTCAGAGCTTCCCCCTCCATCTGTGGGACACATGGCCTCAGCGCAGGCCAGGTCCCTGCACCTTCCCAAACCCTGCTTCCCCCACAGCCACCTACCCCTGCGTGCGAGGGTCCTCCCACTGCGTGGTCCGGGTGTTGTGGTTCACGTAATACACTCGCCCATTGTCCTGTCTCTTCTCTAGGAGAAAAGGGAGAGAAAGCATTAGCTGGAGTCTGGGAACAGCCCTCCCCTTCCCAGATCACAGGAAATTTGTCAGCTCCCCCATTCCACCTCCTTGGCTCATTTGGAAAAGGCAGGATAAACCCCATGTTCCTTCCGTGTGCCCGAGCTGCCTCAGCCCGGCAGTGCCAGCGTGCAGGAGGTGCCAGGGCAGAGGCCAGCGCTGCCACCGTGCTGCCAGGCCAGGCCAGGGGCTGTGCTCAGCCACAAACCCTCATGGCACACACACAGCCCCTCCTGGGACACCAGCAGATCCACAGGTGCTTTCCCAAACTGCCTGCATGGCCCTGCTCCAGTGCACACGTGCGTGAACACATACACACACACACACACACTCCCTCCTTGTGTGCACACAGGCACAAAACAGCTCCAGCACACACCCAGCCACCCCTGCACACACCCCCTGCCTCCCTGGCACTGTGTGTGCCCCACACCTCCTCCTCCATGTGCTGCGTCATCCCCCCACGCTCAGCCTGCACCATGCAGGCAGGGACACCTTGTCACCTCCCTGTCACCCTCCTGGCCAGTGCCAGCCCCTCGCTCCATCTCACTCCTGGACTGTGGGCAGCAGCCCCCAGATGATGGCCAGGACGGCATCCACCCCAGGGATCCCATCCATCCTGGGAGCCCCCACCCCACGGTGCTGTGCCTGCCCAGCTGGCACTGGGGAGGGGTCCTTTCTCCTGCTGATGGAGAGGGGACACCCAGCAGGGGCTCCACCACCACCCCCATAAAGACACTGCCCCTGCAGACTGCCTGAGCAGCCTTGGCCCCTCTGTCCTGCTCCTAGCTCCCACAATTTTAACCCTTCTCCTGCTCTCCCTGGCTCAGCACAGCCCAGCTGCATCCCCAAGCATCCCAGCCTGCCCTCTCCAGGGATGCTTTCACCATGGAGGGGTTCTCTCTGTCCTGGGGGTGGCACAGGGACTTTTCAAGATGTCCCAGCACACAATGCCTGGGCCATTTGGGGACGACCAGCTCTGCTCCTGCCAGCTCCCAACCCTGCTCCAGAGCCAGGCAGAGCATCCCGGGAGGCAGCACAGCAGAGAACAGATCCCTGTTCATCAGAGGTGGGGTCCAGGGACAAGCAAGGACTTCCACCCGCAACTTGGGGATCTTCCCCAATCCAAAGAACAAATCACAAGCACTTCTGCATTCAGCAGCTGAGAGAGGCTGGGAACTCCTCCAGGAAAAGGGGAAGGCAGGGGAAGAAAAGCTGAATTTCACATAAGAGATCATGCTAGTCACAGGCAGAGTCAGCCCCACGTGCAGCCCAGCACAGGAGTGCTGGCTCCATGGCCCCCCTTCACCCTTCCCAGTACCGCCAGGCACGGAGTGAGGGAGCTGCTGGCATCCCGTGGGACGGGCAGGGTCCTGCTGCGGGTGACAGGAGTGTCCCCGGGGGCCATGCAGGGCCAGGTGAGGCAGTGCAGTACTTACCCCAGCCGGGAGGAAGGGGCCCCAGAGGATCATTGTCGGACGGGGCTCCGGAGGACTAGAGAGAGCAAAAACACGGAGTAAACCCCAGAGCCGGGATGGCTGGAGGAGCGGAGCACGGAGGTGAACCGGCCGGCCCCGCTTCCACTCGCCTCTCCTTGGCCCACTGCTCCCAGGGAACTAAAAAAAAAAACTTGCACACTCAAGGGGGGTTAAAAAAAGAAACAAAAAAAAGCAAAAGCAAATAAAAAAATAAATTCGGAAAAAAAAAAGCCCAGAAGCTCAGCCTAAGCAGGGGCTGGGCAGCCAAGGGGCAGCGGGGCAGGGGCAGGGGCTGCGCCGGCCGAGGGCAGCGGGACGGCCCGGAGGGCTCCGAACGTGCGCGGCTGCTCGGCGTCCCCTGCACATACACCTCCAGCCTCCTCCAAGAACCACACACAAGAGGGGAAAAAATATCGCAGGCCTTTCCAATGAAATCATTCCCACAAGCGCTGTCCACGCCCCGCGCTTCCTGGCGGGCCGGCGGCCCCCTCCTCCGCGGGCCGGGCCGGTGCGGGATGCGCCCTCCGAGCCCCCGCCCGGCCCCACAAAGCGCCTTTCTGGGGCACCGGGACTGCCCCCGGCCCCACAAAGCGCCTTTCTGCGGGCACAGGCCCCGGGGCTGCACACCCGGCCCCAGCCCTGCTGGGGATGGAGGGTCCCCGGGGCCCGGGGCAGGAGGGGGCTGGAAGTGTTTTTAATGGTTAAATGAGAAACGCATCGTTACCCAAAAGGTAAAAACCCATCTGCTGGAGAGGGGCTGTGTCCCAGCTTGCCTCACAGGGATGGATCAGAGTCACCTGGGCACAAGGCATGCACACACAGCCAGACCCAGCCCTGCTGCCTGCAGCCCTCGGGGTGCCAGGGCCCCCCACTCCCAGAAAGGCACCAAAGCCTGGGTGGGTACATCTCGGGGCAGCCAGCACCCCGAGGATGGCCTGGCACAGTTTGTGCCCCTCTCTGAGCTCTGTCTCTTGTACCAACCCCATGTGCCAGGACTGGCGTGGCCAGCACAGCTCAGACTGGGGCAGTGTCTGTTCCCTCCCTGCCAGGACAGGCTGCCCACACAGACAGCTGAGTGTGCCCAGGGGTACCACCTGACTGGCACATCAAAACAGCTAATGAAAGCTACCAGGGCAGAGCTCCTGCTGCTCCCCACAGCCCCTGGGAACTACCCGCCTCTGTGCCAGAGACCCTTTGTGCAAAGGATGTGGCATCTGCCGGGAGAGCAGTCCCTGGCTGCACCCCAGCCCCCCAAATTGTGCCTTTCCCAGGCTCTTCCCCACTGCTCATCACCCCCATACCATGCCCTCCAGCAAGGGCAGAGGGATGCTGGAGGCAGGAGCAAGTCAAGCAGAAAGCCCCTGTGGGGCAGGAGGCAGAGCAGGAACCATCACTGCTGGCAGGAGAGCTCGAAACAAAAAGTACAATCGTTTCATCAGGCTAAATTTGGAGTCTGAGTCCCTCCCTCGGCGGAGCGTGGCCAGGGCGAGTCACAGAGCCTGGAGCAGCTCCAGGCTGGGCTGGCAGGGAGGAGGGACAGCCCTGAACCCACTGGGCATGGTGGGAGCCCTCCCAGGCTGCCCCTGGTGCAGGCAGGGCCAGCACAGCACTGGGGTTCAGCTCTGCCTGTGAGGCTTGGAAGGGTTGGAGAGACATCCAGGGGGGGACAGGCAGGGGAGGAGGGGGCTGAGCTGGCGCTGGCTGTGTCCCGCACTGACAGCACTTTGCACTACACCCCTCCCCGAGAGCAGCTGAGCTCTGGATGGAGCCCACTCCAGTGCCAGCTGGGACTCCTGGCTTTCTCTGGGGAGGTAAAAGTCAGTGAGAAGTTGGTCCCTGTACACTGTCCACCTTCCCTCACAGCTGTTCAGCTGCCTCTGGCACGAGTGCAGGTTCACCCTGCATGGGGCTGGATCACTGCTCCAGGAGGCAGAGCTGCTCCAGCCTGGCTCTGTCCCAGGCACTGCTCTCCCTGCAGCCCACAGACACCAGCACCACACCACATCCATGGCGAACGTATGGCCAGGACAGGTGTGGTCCCTGCCCAGGAAAAGAATGGCTGAGACCATTCCCTGAGCAAGGAAACGCAAATACTCAGCCCAAACCAGGAATGGGGGAAGCAGCAAAGGAAGCAGGAGGATGCTGGCAAGTCCAGCTCGTTCCCTGCACTCTTTGGTCCCTGGCTCCTGCAGCCCTCTCCACTTGTACCCCGGGCCTGCAGCTCTGGGACCCAGCCAGGCCGTCCTCAGCCCAACAGAGACCTGGGGAGGGATGAGCTCAGGCCCCAGAGCCTCCTGTCCTGCCACACACCAGGCTCCCTCAGCTCCAACAGCAGGTTCTGCAGCCCCACAGGTCAGCAGCAAGGCTTGTCTGATGGGAGCCACAGCAGATCGTGTGGCTGGCCACACTGGCACTGGAGAAACCTTGGGGACAGGCTGCTGAGGACAGCTCCCACCACCCTTCAGGGCCATGCAAGCTGGTTTATAAAAAGCAGCAAGTCACTCCCCCGAGGCCTCTGCAGGCAGCTCGGAGCCTGTGAGCTCCCACCCAGGCACTGCTCTGAGCTCACACAGACCCCACAGAGCCCAGCGAGCGCCTTCCCCGCCCCGTGGCTCCCAGGCAGGTGAGACCCTGGCCCTCACCTGGTACAGGAACCTCTGGCTGAAGTGCTGCATGGCCCCTTGCAGCTGGTTGCGCTGCGACTGCCACTGCTCGTAGTTGCGGACGTACTCGGCCGTGGGGCGCTGCCACGTGGTGGTGCGGGTGTTGTGGTCCACGTAGTAGTACCTGCCCCGAGGATCCACGCGCTTCTCCCACCTGGAAGCACCAAGGAATTGTCACTGTGGGGCTCACGCCGCTCGGTCCTGCCACCCTCCGACACGAGGGCTCCGTGCCCAGCTCCACAACCACTGCTCTCGCACCTAAAGGGGCTCTTCTGGACCAGGACCCACCAAAAGGAAACACACAGCACGAGTAACTGCTCCAGTGGCTGCTGCAAGGGCACACGAAGCCTGACAAGATGCTGGGACACAGCGGAGCTCCCACCAGGATGCCACGAACGCCTCTCTGAGACAGTGGCCGAGCCAAGGCCTGGAGCCCCCAGCCCCTTACCCTGGAGGAAGGGGTCTCTCCCACGTCGTGGTCTTGTTGTTGTGGTCTACATAGTAGACTCTCCCATTCGGCAGCTCCCGCTGCTCCCACCTGCAAGGAGAACAAACTCATGAGGCAGGGGGTACTGCTGGCATCAAGAACATCCAACAGCTGCCCCTGCTGGGTCAGGGAGCCCAGCTCCACACACCCTTGGCACTCCAGCCTTTATCTGACAGCTCTGCGTGGCACATTCTCCTGGATGGAGACTCTGGGAGAGGGGCTGCAGCACTCTGCTTCCTCAACAGGCACAACTGGAGCATAAATTCCTAATTTCCCCCAAAAAGGTCAGCACAGCATTTCACAGAGGGTCAGTTTCATGCCCTGTGTCTCTGATGTTTTTGTTTGGTTTCTCCTAATACATCTTCAAAGGGAGTGTTTGAGCTGGGGCTGGGATCCCTCCCTGCAGCCCTGGGCTTGCTGCTGACAGCCACAGCTTAAACACACGTGTGGCCACGGGCTGGGGTGGCCCTGAGGACAGCCCAGGTGACAGCAAGCCTGGCTTCACAGGGCCACGCTGCAGCCATTCTTTGTGTGAATTCATTCATGAACTCACCCTGGCAAAGGTGAATGCTCTGTGCAGCCCGTGCTTTCTTGTCAGCTTTTATCCTGCAGCAGAGGAGGCGAGCCAGCAGCTGCTGACAGATAAAGTGTTCTCCTGCCACACTTGTGCTCCCACAGGCTCTCTCCCATTCAATCATCTGTCTCAATTAATCACCACAAAAAGCTCGAGGAAATTAATACACCAGCTTCTGTGTGGCAGCAGGGGAGCCAGCACAGGCTGGCAGGCAGGAGGCAGCCCTGGGGATGGAGCTGCTCTGAGTGCTGGTGCCCCACAGCCTGGGCTCATCCCAGCTCAGCCCCACAGCTCCAGGGACAGCAATGCCATCACCACAGACAGGGACAGCAGTGCCATCACCACAGACAGGGACAGCAATGCCATCACCACAGCTCCAGGGACAGCAATGCCATCACCACAGACAGGACAGCAGTGCCATCACCACAGACAGGACAGCAATGCCATCACCACAGCTCCAGGGACAGCAATGCCATCACCACAGACAGGGACAGCAATGCCATCACCACAGCCAGGGACAGCAATGCCATCACCACAGACAGGGACAGCAATGCCATCACCACAGCCAGGGACAGCAGTGCCATCACCACAGACAGGACAGCAGTGCCATCACCACAGCCAGGGACAGCAATGCCATCACCACAGCCAGGGACAGCAATGCCATCACCACAGCTCCAGGGACAGCAATGCCATCACCACAGCCAGGGACAGCAATGCCATCACCACAAGAGTGAAATCTCTAAAGGGAAAATCAGCACAGCTGGGGTGCCCTAAGACATGAGCAGGTCTGCCCCATGAGATGGATGGCAGAAGGTGTCCAGGCACTCTTAGGGCAGTGGAACTGCCCTGGACAGCCCCTCCAGTCTCATTAACAACAGATGCTCTGATCCATACAGCTCTGAGGACTTGGAAGGTACCATTCCTGCAGCTGTAGAGACCAGAATTCCCATGATGGGAATTCCTCCAGGTTTCTGGATCCCTCTGGGTACACTCACGACTGCAAAGAGCCACGTGGGACTGGGGAGAGCTGCTGGGGGTGGCAGCTACTGCCTGATGCGCCCTGTCCCCACCTCACCCCCTGTAAAAACACTGATGAGCTGACAAAGTGCTCACCAGCAGCTCCTGGGTGATGTGAGGAGTGAATCTGCTGAGGGCTGGCTCACCCTGTGGTTATTGCTGCCACACAGAGATGGGGACACTGGGGACCATCCTTGCTCAGACCACCTTGCCCAGCTCCACACAGCCCCCAGCATGGGAGATCCATGGTTTTGGGAGTGCTGGACGGTGGGAGCTCTCCCCACAAGCAGCACCAAGCACCCAACACTGCCAGCTCTCCTGCAGCTGCCACAGGCTCTCGGTGGCCATGGATGCGAGGAGGCACAGGCAGTGGAAGAGGCAGAGCTGAGGCAGCCCTGCAGTCCAAACAAAACGCCCTCCTTACGTAAGAAACCACAGCCCTGGGCTGTGCCAGCAGCATAAAGCGCCTCTTTGTGCCTCACACCCGCTGCCTGTCCCACACGGATCGTCCCTGACAGGACCCACAGCCAGCAGCCCCCTCCCCTCCCTCGGTGCCAGTCCGGCCTGGCAGCCCAGCAGGAGGGCTGGGAGCCCAGCTGGGACCCCCAAAGCCTCGGGCACCACACACTGCTGGCTCCACAGGAACACTGCCCAGAGGAGGTGAGGGTGCCTTTGGGCACTGGAATCACTCAGAACTCCTGCCAGCCCTCTCCAGCCCCTAGGACAGACTCCCAGTTGTGTGAGGGATGCCTTTGACTGCCACACCTGGGGCAGATGTTGAGACACAGAGACCTGAGCACAGCTAATCGCTCGGGATCCCCACATGAACCCAAGCGTCTGTCAGAGCCCAGAACGAGCAGGGAGGCTGGGGCCACCCCCCAGAGTGCTCCCCACGCTCCCAGGGAAGGAAGGAGACACTCAGAGCAGGGCAGGGCTCTGGGTAGGGAGGGACGTGCCTGGCAGTTCTGCAGGGACTTTGCTCCTAGAGCAGGAGCCACCCCCATGGGCCCTGCAGTGCTCTCACAGCCAGCCCAGCAAGGGGCTCTCCTGCAGCCCCATCTCCCAAGCTGGGCCCCAAACCACCAGTCAGAATAATTCCGTGGTGAGGGGAGCCCGCCAAAAACCAGCCTCCCTGGATCAGGGCTCAGGAGAACTCCAGCAGCTCATTTACACCACCCCAGGGACACAGGGCTGTGCAATCCAGTTCAGCAAATCCCCGTTAGCCCAGCACCTGCTCTGGCCCTCCCTGGAAGGGCTCACACCGTGGAGACCTCACTGCATTCAACTCCCTGCTGTCCTTCACCTGGGAAGCCCCTGATCTCTGCTGTCCCCTGCCCAGACCAGCACAGCTCAAGCACAGCTCGTGCTGCCCTCTTTGCCTCTACAGATCCCACAGCCAGCACAGAAGGTGCTAATCAAAGGTGTCTCCAGAGACCCAGGAGCTCAGCCTGGAGAATCCTCAGTACCCCTTCAATGTTCCTCTCCATCCAGCTCCCAAAGCTTTATCCTCCTCCCTGCTCTGACACACCCATTCTCTGGTGTGAGCTCCACAGGAGATGGGCAAGGAGGACAGGGCCACCTTTCCATGTGGTGGTCAGGTAAACCCAGCCTGGTGTGTCTCAGAAAGCAGTGCCCACAGCCCCCAGAACCCAGAGCTATCTGCAGGCTTCCCCGCACCACAAAGAAACAACAGCCTGTTTCCAACCCCAGGTGGGGAGAAGGAGACCTTCAGTCTACCTGGTAGGAGCAGAAAGGGCCCTAAGCTCTGGCTGGAATAAAGGCCTTTTTGAGAGCACTGGACTTTTCCAGCTGCCTGGAAACAGGAAGCGCCCAGGCCAGGAGAACAGAACCCCTCACACTGGTGCATAAAGGCACAGTGAGCCGTTAACCCTAATTACCTGTGACTGACACGCGAGCGGGGCCTGACCTTCCAGGCATCGCCCCAGCCAAAGCAAAACAAACAGCTCCCTTCATGCCCAACACAGCCCGTTCCACCCCCCCAGAATGCTCTGACACACGGGGAGAACGGTGCAGCTGCAGCACCGGGGGGCTGAGCCCAGACCCCAACTGCTGCCCCCACCCCCAGCCAGCAGCTCCCACTCCCCTCCAGCCCCTCCCCGATGTTCCCGGGAGGAGGAGGAGGATGAGTAGCATCTGCACCAGGAAGAATGAGCACCACAACTCGAGGGTCCTGTCCCCAGCAGTGGCCAATGCCTCTGTGGTGTCCCCAGAGCATGTCTGTGCTCTCCTGCTCAGTGGGAGCTCCCTCAAAACCCACACTCAGTCTCCTGTGCGTTTCCCTCTGACTGATCCCCTGAGGGCTCTGCTGCTCCACGGGCAGAGATGTCACCCCAAACTGTTCAGTGCCCCAAACACCCAGTGGGCACAGGCCAGACTCCAGCCCAGAGTCCTGGGCACCAGGCAGGACAGGCAGCACCGGCTGTGCCAGGCATGGGGCACAGGATCCCCAGCACCTGCCCCAGGCCCTCCCTGTTCCGCTGGGCACCAGCATCTCCAGCAGCTCCTGGGGCATCTCCTTCCCTCCCTCAAACAGCCCCTGCTCCCAGCACACAGCAGTGCCCCAGCTGGTTCCTGCCCCCTCTCCCCACAGGCTGAGCTTACCCGGGGGGCAGAGCTTACCCGGGGGGCAGAGCATCCAGGGCGAGCACGGCTGCCCGGGCCGGGGGGGCACTGGAGCCCGAGGCCGCCTCCTCTGCCTCCCTGGAGCCGCTGAGGGCAGGAGGGGCAGGAGCAGAGGAGCCCTCGGCCGTGCCGGGCGCCGCCGGGCTGGGAACGCTGGGCCCTGCTGCCGGCCTGTCCTCGTCCATGTCCACGGCAGCCACGGCGTCCCCGTTCACTGCGGAGACACAGGGAGCAGGTCAGCACGGGGAGGGCACCAGGGCACCAGGGCTGGCTGAGCTTCCCAGCAAGCAGAGCACGTGGTGGGTGACAAGCCAAGCACAGCACTCTCAGCGCTGCCAGCCTGCAGCAAAGGCAGCACCTGCTTCACCCAGACCCCACTGCCATCGCCTCCATCCTGAGATGGTGCTTTGCATTTGTGCCCAGGGTCTCTTCTGCCACTGGAAACATGCTGCATCCCAGATGGGAAATTGGGGAATGAGCAGGAGCTCCAAAACAGTGGGTACAGCATCTCCCTTGAGGCAGAGTGAAACCCAAGCTCCACAAGTCAGCAGCACTGCAAAGAGCTAAACATTGCTGGATTCCACCGAACCTTTGGAAAAGGGAAGAGACAGAGCAAAGGAAAACTACAAAGAAAACTGTTGAGGAGGAAAATGCAGAGCAAAAAATTGAAAGGGAATTTTTTAGAGGAATATTTACTGGATACCAAAACCCTGAGGCCTGGCAGCCCAGCTGAGGAGGACCTTTGGTACAAGATATCCTAGCTGGAGTGGTAAAACAAAAGTTTTATAAAAATCCACGAGCAAGGAACAAAGGAGTGAGGGATGCAGACATATTTCCAGGAGCTAGAGCTAAGAAACGTAAAAAACTGTAAGGGAAGGCCAAACATTTAGAAGCATTGTAGGAAAAAGCAGTATAAACCCTCATGGAAGGAAGAGCAACAGATGCTCTGTAGAAGAGACAGAATGAGACCCACCAATGCACGGGGACAAAATTCCTGGGCACTACAAGATGCATTACGAATCTCAGCACTCATTTTCCCCCCAGTGAATATCCCTGAGCTCTGCTCCCACCTCCCATGGTCACCTGTGCCGTTGGCCATGCCGGTGGTCGTGCCGTTGGCCGTGCCGTTGGCCACGCCATTGGCCGTGCTGGTGGCCACACCGTTGGCCACGCCGTTGGCCATGCTGGTGGCCGTGCCGTTGGCCATGCTGGTGGCTGTGCTGGTGTGCTGCGAGCTCTTGGCCTGCTGCCGGTGCCGGCTCCTGGCGCTGGGACTTTGCTCCCCGCTGCTCGCGTTTCCCCGCGCTGCTCCGGCCGCATGTCGGTGTGTCCTGCAAGGGAGGAGCGCAGCAGGTCAGAGACATCACATGGGGAACACCACTGCTGCCTTTTCACCTGGGCTCTTGCTGCTTCCACCCAGCACAGCCACCCGTGTCCCCTGGGAAGGCCAGGATATGGTTCTGTGCCTGTGCTCATGCTGCCTGCTCAGACCTGCCCACAGTCCTGGCACACACCTGCTGGCAGCAGAGAGCCATGCAGGGGTCACCTGGGTGACACCACCTTGCTTTGTTCACAGGTGGGCGCTCCACATGCCAAGGAGTGACCCTGGATGCTCACAGCCAGACAGCTGCTCACCAGAGAGGATCCCAGCTTGCTCCATCCCAGGAGATCCCACAGCAGCCCCGGTCCTGCACCATGGTGGGGACACTCCCCAGTGCCTCGTGCCTGGCTCCAAGCCTCGCCCAGAGGCAGGTGAGGAAGCTGTCCCAGGACAGCTGTGGCCTCCAGAAAAGGAGGGAACCAGCAGTCAGGAAAGGTGAGAGCTGAAATCACAGCACGAGTTGTGACCAGCTCAGGTGCAGCTGCTCCATCTCCAGGGGTCATTGCCACCCTGGAGCTCACCTGCCACCATTCTCCATGGCCAGGGCAGCCCAACCTTCCCTGGCAGAGCACCTGCAGCTCCCCCAAGCAAACTCACTGCCTTGGACCATCCAGGGCCCCCAGAGCAGCACAAAGGCATTCCTGAAAAAGCTGGGCTTCACCTTAAGAATTCATTCCTGTGAGCAAGGAGGGAGACAGGGCAGGAGGGAAGGTGCTGCCATCCCAAATCTGGGGGGCCTGAGCAGCAGAGGCAGAGCCCAGGCACCTCCAGCCAGGCTGGCAGCCCAGGCAGCAACCACGGAGGGTAGAGACTGCAGGGAAAAGGACATCAGTTTCTCCCAGCCAAAATCTACCTTAAAAGGGCAAAACCCACACACTGTCCCCAAGTCTCAGGGCTGGTGCTGGGAGGGGACAGCAGCTTGGCAGCTACAGGGCACAGATCAGTCATGCCACTCTCAGCAGCTCCAGCAACTGGAGCCCTCCCACTCGCTCCAAAGCTCTCTCCTTGGGGAGCAGCTCATGGCAGGGCTGGGACTGGGAGGAGACATGGGAAAGCAGGAGAATTGTTGAAAATAGATTACATGAGGGCCACGGGCAGAGCAGGAGCTGCTGTGACTACTTAAATGAGGCACAGACCCCCAGCCAGGGGCTCCTGGAGGGGCTCCTCAGACAGAAAATTCCCTGAAAGCCCAGCTGGCCCCCAGACACAGCTCCGTGCTGGGGTTTGCTTTGGCCACCAGCACCCAGCACCATGGGGCATCTGTGGGGAGAGAAGAGGCTCCTCTGCCCCATCAGGAGGTGAAGGGGGCCCCTCACTGCCCCTGGTACCACCCACCTCCCTCCCAAAAGCTGGCTGGGACCTCTCCCCACATTTCCCCCCATGGGGAGGCCGAAGGCAGCACAGCCCCCAGACCCCTGGCCAGAGGGGAGCAGGCAGGTGCCACCAGCCTGTCCCACTGGGAGCAACCTTTCTAGCATGGGATGGGCTGGTCCCTGCCCTCCTCAGCACAGATGAGCTCAGAAGTGCCCAGAGAGTTTTTAGAAACCAAAACAGGATGTTTCCAGGCTGCCAGCCGGCGGCACAGGGTTACCGGCCTGAATTAGCCAGCCCAGCCCTCCTACGAGTGCTCCCATCTGGGCATTGTCTTTTAATAGACACTGGAAACAAACCCAGAGAGGCCACAGAGCACGGCGGGACGGGAGCGTGTGCTAAAACAGGAGCAAGGAAAAAACCAGGCAGAGCACGGATGGAACACAGGGTGGGATGGACAGGGGTGTGTGGATGGCAGCCCCTCTCCCACACTGGGGACAAGACCCTGCTGTCCCCCATCGACTCTGGGACCTTGGCTGGCTGCCCCACTGCCCCTCCTGGGCTGGGGCAGATGATGCCAAAGAGTTAAGTGGCATCAGCCAGGTGCCATCGATCCTTCCTCTTCCCCTTCTGCCAAGGCGGAGTCCCCTCGCCATGGTGGCCAACACGGACCCCAGCCAAGAAGCCCGGGAATGGCCAGTTCCTGCAGCTGGGATGGCCAGAGGGTCCCTCAGGAGATGCAGCAGAGGTGGCAGCCTGTCTCAGCCTCACTCAGCACATCAGAGGCCAAGCTGTGGCCGAGGAGGAGGAGGGCAGAGCACAGGCTGGAGCAGCACTGGCTCTGGGGAGCAGGGCACCAGCTCTGGGATACAACCAGGAAAGCCTCAGTGCCATGCAGGCAGCGAGAGCACAGCCCCCAAAACACAGAGCTGAGAAATTCCCCCTGTCCCTGCCAAAGGGGGGAGGCAGGCACATCCCCCAGCACCCAAATGAGACAAGCATGGAATAGTTTGGGTGCCAAGGGACCTGAAATCTCATTCTCGTTCCAGCTCCTGCCATGGACAGGGACACCTTCCACTATCCCAGGGTGCTCCAAACTCTGTCCAACCTGGCCTTGGGCACTGCCAGGGATGGGGCAGCCACAGCTGCTCTGGGCACCGTGTGCCAGGGCCTCCATAAACAGGGGCTGTGGCACCCATGGCCGAGCTCTCAGCCAGAGCTCCCTCTCTCCCTGCACAGACGGCTGTGGAATTTCACACCCAATCACCAAGATTAGCAGCAAATCCCAAGATGACATTTGTTCAGGAGAAGAAAGAGAAGCCCTGATCAAGCAATTTCCCTTGCAGGGACAGTGTGGAAATAGCTGAGGAGCAAAGAATGCCCCTTTTCTTCCCATCCTGCCACTGAGCGACTTTGCCAGCATCCATCACCAAGCCCAAGAAAATAAACACGGCTCTGTGTATAAACACAGCAACCATCAAACAACATTCCCAAGGATTGCAAGGGACCCACATTCCACCCTGGAGCGTGCAGCTGCCTCCTCTGTGGGTACAGAGAGCAGTGCTCTGCCCCACGGAGCAGCACCACATCAAACTGAGCAGGTATGTCCAGAGCAACCCCAAATTCAGGTAGTACTGCATGGACTGAGAGCTCGCTCAGAGCTTTGCACAGCAGGGCTGCCAGGGGATATGGCTGATGGCAGGCACACCCGGCAGGTGTCCCAAGGTGCCCTGCACAATCCTGGCCAGACCTCACCACTCTCAAGGTGACAGCTGAGGCACAAACTCCTCAGAGCCGATGGGCAGGCAGTGGGGAATGGGCAACAAGCAGTGCCCAGGCTCATCCTCCCAAACCAGAATTTTCTTTGCAGGTTTTCTGGCACCTCCTGAGAGCTGCTAAGGGCCTGCCAAGCCCAGCTCAGCCGGGTCACTGAGCACTTCCCATCCCTGGGGAGGCTCCAACACCTGGACAGCAGGAATCAACAGGAGCAGCCACCACAAAAGGGTGTTCACAAACTGTGTGTTCACAAACTGCTCCCAATTCCCATCCCTCTCCCTCCTGGGGTGGGAGATGAACACACAGCATGGAAAGACAAGGTCACTTTTTGAGCCAAAAACATCAACTCTGGTGTGTGCCCAGCAGATAAAGAAGGAGCAGAAGAGCTCGAGGTGTGAAGCTGGTAGCTGAGAGTGCTCCTGAGCCTGGGCCACGCAGAACCTCCCAGGGACAAGCTGCAGACGCCCTCTCCACAGCCACACTCCTACCCAGAACATCTGCACAGGCTGCTGGGCCACTGCCATGCTCTGGAAATATAAATAGGTGTTAAATTCAACTGCATGTTGACAGTGTGACACGTCTCTCAGTAACCACAGCTCCAAAAGGAGCAGCCTGAGCCACTCCAGCCCGGCAAGGAGGCAGGGCAGGGCAGGGCACGGAGCCAGCTGAGGATGGCCTGCTGCCCAGGCAGCTCACTTCCTTTGGAAGCAGCTGTTATTTCCCTGCAGCTCTGCTCCTCCTGCTCTCCCTGGACCTTTGTTAGCATCTCCCTCTGGCCACTGCCTGGAGGGGCATTGTGCTTCCCAGCCTGGCCAGGGCTGTGCTCAAGTGCTGGGGCTCCTGGGATCCCTATTTAAGGGACTTCGCTTTGCCGGTTTGCCTCATCACAGCCTGCCCCATTCTCAGACAGATCATTTTTTCAGCTGCCAGTGGAGGAACTGGTGGAAACTCTCTGAGCCATCACAGACTTGCTATTCCTTGAGACACCACACTTTAGGAGAGGCTCAGGCCAACCCCAGCCCAGCTGCACAGTCACTCTCTGCACTCCCAGCTCTGCTGTCCCCAGCACAGCCCTGCCGTGTGCTGTGTGACAGGGGCTCACTGGGAGATGTGGAGTGGGGTGCACAGCACAAGGACAATCCAGACACAGCCACAGCAACCCCCAGCAATGGACACACAGCATGGGACCCTCACCTGGGTCTGCTGCCAAAGCAGTTGGTGCTGGGAGGTTGGTGCCGGCCCTCCGTGCCCACGGCTGTGCTGCTGGGGTCCCGTCCAGGCGCCTGGGACCCTGCATGGGGGAAGAAGAAGGGGTGAAGAAAGGACTGAACCACCTACCCTCCTTCCTTCCCTCCCTCCCTCCCTCCTTCCAGAAAGGAGCCCCAAAAGCACAACAGCCCCATCCCCTGCAGGACAGACCCCCAGCACCCAAGGACGCCCTGCCTCACACCACACAGCCCAGCACCCCCGGCAGGACACAGGACTCTGCAGAGCTGGCAGTGCCAGCACAGCCTTGCATCCACAGCTCCCAGATTTCACAAGTTTTGTTTTCCAGAGACAAAGAGAAGGAGCCAAGGGAAAGCAATGCACCAATCCCTGTTCTGTACAAGCTTTGCTCTCCTGGCAACCCTGAGAGATCAGCCACCAGCCCATGATCCCACAGATGCCCTGGCACGGGGAGCGCTCGTGAGTGGATCAGCAGGCACTGACACCATTTCCCCAGCCCTCCCAGCCAGGGAAGGGGCTGATGGGTGTGGAAGGCTGGAGGAGGGCTGCAGAAGGGCTGCTCCTCCCCGGCTGCAGGGGAGGCTGCTGGGAGCCCGTGGCCGCTCCCGTTGCACTCCTGCACCGGCGGGAGCCCACGGGGCTGGCCCGGGCTGGGGAGGGCCTCGGGGGCAGAGGTGGGTGCTGGCCTGGGGCACCGGAGCTCACCCTGCTCCCCGTGCTCACACTCACACCCACACTCACCCTCAGAGCCCGCACTGCCGTCGGGAACAACGGGAACGCTGCCCAGAGCAACAGCCGGCCCGTCCAGGAACACCGTCAGCTCTCCGCCCGAAACAACGCTGCCTTTGTTCTCCGTCTGCAGGTCCAGGGTCAGCTGCCTGTTCTCCACTGCCACAGACGGACATGGAGAGAGAGAGACCCCCATCACCATCAGGGTACCGGCCTGGCAGGGGTGGCTCCTCTGCCTCTGCCCCAGCCCTGTGCCAGCCTCCCAGTCACCACCGGGGTACCGGCCCTGGCGGGGGTGGCTCCTCTGCCCCAGCCCCGTGCCAGCCTCCCAGGCCTCCCCATCCCAAGGGACAATGTGCCCACGCCCTCAGGGCCCCCAGTGCTGGCCCCACACATACACACACCTACCGCCCTGCCAGAGGACCCCGGCCAGTCCCACCACCCGCTCCTGAGGAAGATCCCTCTGCACCATCCCTCAGGATCCCTTCACCCCTTTCGTGGGGCTGCAGCTGCCCCAGGGGCCCTGGCTGTGACACCCAGAGCCCCATTGCTCACAGAGCCAGGAGCTGGGGCTGCAGGGCAGATCCCGGCAGGAAAGCCAAGGGATTTCACAGAACCACCAGGCTGGGAGAGACCTTCAGGATCATGAAGTCCAGCCCATACCCTAACACCTCAACTAAACCATGGCACCAAGTGCCACATCCAATCTTTTTTTAAACACACCCAGGGATGGTGACTCCACCACCTCCCTGGGCAGGCCATTCCAGAACTTTATCACTCTTTCCATAAAAAACTCTTTCCTAATATTCAACCTAAATTTCCCTTGGCATAGCTTGAGACTGTGTCCTCTGGTTCTGTCAGTGCTGCCTGGAGAAAGAGCCCAACCCCACCTGAGCACAGGCACCTTTCAGGAGCTGCAGAGAGTGATGAGGTCAGCTCTGAGCCTCCTTTTCTCCAGGCTGAGCACCCCCAGCTCCTTCAGAGGTTCCTCACAGGGTTTGTGTTCCCAGCCCCTCTCCAGCCTCATTGCCTCCTCCGAACGCACTCGAACGTCTCAAAGTCCTTCCCAAACTGAGGGGCTCCTTTAAGATGACACAAGGGGCAAGAGGTCCTGCATGGTGGTGAGCATCCCTCCATCCACATCCCTGTGCATCGACTCCACTGAACAAAACCAGCACAGAGGGCTGTCCCCAACCAGGAACACTCTGCTGCAACACTGGACAGCATTCACAGAAGATTCTGGAGAGGGTGCCACGGGCTGGGAGGCTCCTGGAGACAGCTGCCAGCTCCACTCCCTCCTGTGTGAGCCAGTCTGGCTTCACCACCTCGGCTCTGCTGGTCCCTGGGGACAATGGGGGCACAGCACAGCCCTCAGCACCCACCCCACCACAGCAATGCCTGCCAGTGCCAGCCAGACTGAAACACCGTCACAGAAGGCCAGAAAAACTTGGCTGCACCAGCCTGGGACACTAGCCCAGACGCTTCCTGACTCATTTGCTCAAATAATATTTTTATTATACACGGATTGCTCATGACACAATGGCACCATTTTTTAGCAACCTGCTTTGTCCCGGTGTGACGCGGGGATGGGGTGCGGCTCGGGCAGCAGGAGCAGGATGGGAGCACACCCCCACAGAGCCCTTGTCCCACCTCTAGCTGCGAGCTGTCCCACACTGGGACTTGAACTTCCTTCTCCAAGGCCCCCCAAAGGGTCTGCAGCAAACACGGGGCTGTGGGACAGGCAGTACTTGTGGTTCCAAGGGAAGTTTCCATTTTTTAGTGCCAAGAAGGCAGGTGTCACCTGCACAACAGGGGCACACGCTGACAGGGGCACAGCTCTGTCACTGATCCCCATCATCCAACAAGGGATCCTGCTGAGCCTGGTCTTCCCCTCTGCCTCACGGAGCTGCACTCCGCTTGCTTCCATAGGAAACCGACCTCACAGACAGTTTTAAGAGCCGGAGACAGAAGATGCTACTGAGCACAGCCAAAAACCAGAACAAATCCAGACCCTGTTTCCCCCCTGGCTCCTCCAAGCCGTAGGAATCCACATTTTCTCCAGGGTGCCTCCATCCCCCTCTGCGCGTGCCGCGCTCCGGGGCCGCACAAGCGCTCATTGTGCGGGCGCCCGGCTGGGGCGCAAAGACAAGGTGTCTCCAAGTGGAGGATGTGAACATGAACCTCCCAGCCGGCTTCCTTCTCCCCCCTCCGCCCCCTCCAGCTTTTTTAAAGAAAATAAACACTGGCAGAACCTTCCCCTCCCTGTCCCCGTGCAGCGTGCGGGACGCACAAAGGGACATTGCTGCTGCTCCGACGGCGGGTCCCCCGGAGGGCCCGGCACAAAGGCTGCCTCTGTCCCAGAACGGCAGAGGGATTATTATTATTTTGGGAGGGGGTCGGGGGGTGATTTGGTCCTGAATAAGGTCTCAGTTCAGCTACTTCCAGCGCCCTGCACGCAGCATCAGAGCTCCCATTTAGCAGAGGTGAGCTGGAATTCCCACCCAGCCCATTAAGGGGATTTACGGTTCCACGAAACGAGGCCGGAGCAGCCGGCGTGATAACGGCCCCGGGCTGAGCCCCAGCCCTGGGAGCCCCAGGAACCACACGTGTCTGACCCCAGGGAGCTGCCACACGGGATGGGCAGCTCCTCTGGAACACCCTGTGTGAGGTGGCTCCATCTCCACAGCTGCATCCCAGAAGATTTTCAGACAAACAGCCAAAATGAGCTTCCCAGTGTCTCAGCTTCCCAAACCTCGTGCCAAGCTCTTTGCCCAGTCCCACTGGATGCAAAGGCCAGTCCCCTTTCCAGCAGCTCCATGTGATCATCCAGGTTTTGTCTGGGATGAATCAAAGCTCCCTGGTGCCGAGCAGGTGAAGACTGGCTCAGCCTTTGTGCATTCCCGTCCATGCCGTGGGTACAGTCCCTCCAGGAACAAGCACGGGGCAAGTTACACCTTCTACAAACATTCCCAAACCAAGAAGGAACACAGAGTTTAGGGGAAGGGATCATCTTTAGTGTCCCATGAAAGTCTCCCCAGGGAAGCTCTGCCTTTGCTCTGATCCAACCTCAACCACCAGCGGCTTGGAGACAACAGTGTCCCACTCCATTTATCTGCCAGGGATAACAAGGAGGGCTCAGGTTTCTGTATCTTTATTATCTGCATCACCTTTCTTTCCTCTAAAAGGTGACGTGGGGTGGGCCCTCTCCAACGCCCCTAGTGACCTACTGGCTGCATGGCCAGTTTTGTGGGATTACATCCTGGCCATGCAGAGCCAGCTGACGGAGCTGCAGGGACATGCAGCACAGCACAGCTCCTTGGCATCACAGCCACAATGGGGTGGAGCTGCAGTTTTCCAGAGGCTGGGAATTGCTGCAGGTGTCCTGGAGGACCCCAGGAGGCCACAGTTCCAGCCACTCTGCCTGGGGCACCGCAGCAGGGATCCCTGAAGCCCCGGCACGTGGTGCCACTCGACCAGCACAACCAGCAGGCCCGGCAGGGGCTCCCCACAGGCCGGGATGCGGGGCTGGCCGGGGCCGGCAGCTCCCGGAGCCCGGGAACAAAGAGCAGCCTCTGTTCAGGGCCGGGGGCGTGCCACGGCAAACGAGCTGTTTTATGGGAGCCCTGGGAGCAGCTCGGCTCCTGCAAGGCTCCAGCCCGTGCTGGGGCCTGAGCCGGCCCTGACCCACCTCCCCACGTCCCCGCCAATCCCCGGCAAGGCGGGAGGGGCTGCGGGCCAGCGCAGGGGCCGCAGGAAGCGCGGCCGAGCCCCGGCTGTCCTGCACAGCCAGGCTGCCCCTCCAGAGCCTCTCACGGCAGCTCAGGCCCCATTGCTGAGCTCTTTTCCCATGCTCCAGCCCTCAGAGCTGGGACCTTTCCCCCTGCAGTGAGGCACGCCTGGCAGGAGGGCTGACAGCAGCAGCCGGGCACACACTGCCACAGGTGTCACAGCAGTGAGGACACTGTCCTGCCCACCGAGGAGAGCCACAGGAACCCAACCCAGGGCCACAGCTACGCTCACAGATCAGCACCTTTCGTAAAGCCTCACCATAACAAGCCCAGCTAAGAGGGGCTGCTGCCTGGCAGAAGCTCACTCTTGGCACAGCACCTCTCAGGATGGGAGAGGAGGGCCAGGCCCCTCCAGTGGCAGGGGCACACGTATTTCACTGCCCTTCACTTCAAATGCTGACTCAGGATGGCCTGAAATCCCAGATGCCTTGTGCCTGACCCAGCCCCTTCCTCAGGCTGGCAGGCAGAGGGAACACACTCCCCTATTCCCAGGAGGACAGCAGCCCCTGAGGAAAGGATGTCCCAGGCTCCCATGGGATCCCCCAGCAGCCTCTGGCCCTCAGACCTGCAGCAAAGCCTGAAGGCTCAACATGAGCCTGCAGAGAAGAGTAGGGAGCAGATGCCTGCCCAGACAAGGAGGGCAGACAGGAGCAGAGGGGCAGCACCTTCCCGGGCAGGGAGGGCAGGCTCTGCAGCTTTAAGAGTGCTTCCTCCCTCCCAGCCCGCAGTGTCAAGGAAAAATCTGACACGTTTTTCTGGGGGATGTTAACAGACAAGCTAGAACAGCCAGTTGCCTTTTCCATTCATTTTCCACACAGCCTCCCGGGATGGCTGGGAATGAAAGAGCCAATTGTGCCCCCGTGGCGGCGCAGGTAGGGCAGGAACCGCGGCGGCTGCGGGAGCCCAGCACGGCCCCTGCACACCTCGGGAAATGATGGCTGCAGGGGAGGCTGCCCAGGGCTCCCACAGCTGTGGGGCTGCCTGGCTGCTACACCCCAACAGAGCCAGCCCCAGGCACTCGTCCAGGTCCCCACAGGCCTCGTGAGAAGACAGCAGTGGCAGCACAGCTCCCATGTGTCCCTCGCTGCCACAGCAGCCGGTGCCACGGTGGCACGGCACGGACACCGGTGTGGCTGCAGAGCTGGCGGCACCAGGGGAAGCAGCTCAGCCCAGCCCCCAGCACTGGGGAGGGTCTGAAGCAGCCCTGAGTCCCTCGGGGCACAGGAGGCCCCTCTCCCGCTCAATACCAGGTCTGTGTCTCAGCAGCTTTGCTTGGAAGAGACAGAGGCAGCCTTCTCCACCCCGCGCCGCCCCGGCCCTGAATGGCCGCCTTTATGTGGGAGCTGCTGTCACGAGCCCCGCTCTGGCGACCGCAAACGGCGGCGAAAGCAGAGGGGTTTGTGTTCCCGGCCCGCCGCGGTGCCCGCTGACGCAGGTACGGCTGCGGCACGCCCGGCCGTGGCGCACAACGGCACCTTGTTCCCTGCCGGGGGCAGTGACCGGCACGGACAGCACGGACACCGCTGCCCCGGGCCCTGCTCCGTGCCCTGCCCCAGGCCTTGCTCTGTCCCCTGCCCCAGGCCCTGCCCCGAGCCTTGCCCCTGCCCATACTCACGCTTGCCGCCGCCCTTGAGCAGGCTGCCGAGGCTGACCGAGGCGGCGCCCAGCAGCTCGTTCCTCAGCGTGTGGCAGATCCACACCTTCAGCTCCAAGTGGCTCTGAGCCGTGACATTCCTGCACAGAGGGAAAGGGGCTGTCAGCACGGTCTGCTCCGTGCTTGGGGAGCCAGCAGTGCCACAGGCAAGGAGCAAAGGGAGGTGGGCAAAGACATGGGGCAGTGGGAGACCTCCCTCCCACCACCCTGCCAGCCTGGCTGTCTCTGGCAGTGTCCCCTGCAAGGGAAAAAGCCCTGTGACACCTGAGTGTCCCCAGCGTGCGGCACAGCAGGGCACACGGGGCCGGCCCCACAGCAGGGCTCACACACACTCACAGGGTGAGGATCTCGTTCCACAGCAGCTCTGAGACACCCATCTGCTTCCCCGTCTTCTTGGTCTCGCTGGGCAGCCCGTCACCGGCCACCTCCACGTAGCAGTTCATGCGTGCCGGGCGGCTCTGGGCCTTGGGCTTCACAGACACAACTGGGCAGGGACAGGCACAAGGTCAGGCCTGCGAGACACCCTGTCCCCTGCCCGTCCCCTGCCCACCCGTGCCAGCTCGGGGTGCCACGACTCACAGCAGAGTGCTGGGAGAGGGGCAGCAGGGAGCAACGCTCCTGGTGGCAGCGATGGCTGCACCAAGCCCTGACCAGGACTGTCGCTGTCCCCAGGGACACCTCCCTGCCCCAGGGCACGGGGCAGGACGGAGGGGGCAGCCCCAGGCCGGCAGTGCCCGCGGAGGGGCAGAGCGGGACGCGGCTCCGAGGGACGGGCGCCGGGCGCCGGGAGCCATCTCGCGGCCACGGGAGCACCAGCGCGGCCCCGCAGCCACGTCCGCACGGCACGGGCCCAGCCCGGGGCACACAGGGCCAGGGCCAGCCCCGGCCGTGCTGTGCGTGCCGGCCCGGGCTGCAGGCAGAGCACACAGATCCCTGGGTGCAGGCAGAGCACACAGATCCCCGGCAGGGCAGGCAGAGCACACAGATCCCCGGCAGGGCAGGCAGAGCACACAGATCCCCGGGTGCAGGCAGAGCACACAGATCCCCGGGTGCAGGCAGAGCACACAGATCCCCGGGCTGCAGGCAGAGCACACAGATCCCCGGGGTGCAGGCAGAACACACAGATCCCCGGGCTGCAGGCAGAGCACACAGATCCCCGGGTGCAGGCAGAGCACACAGATCCCCGGCAGGGCAGGCAGAGCACACAGATCCCCGGGTGCAGGCAGAGCACACAGATCCCCGGCAGGGCAGGCAGAGCACACAGATCCCCGGCAGGGCAGGCAGAGCACACAGATCCCCGGGTGCAGGCAGAGCACACAGATCCCCGGGTGCAGGCAGAGCACACAGATCCCTGGGCTGCAGGCAGAGCACACAGATCTCTGGGTGCAGGCAGAGCACACAGATCCCCGGGTGCAGGCAGAGCACACAGATCCCCAGGTGCATGCAGAACACACAGATCCCCGGCAGGGCAGGCAGAGCACACAGATCCCCGGGTGCAGGCAGAGCACACAGATCCCCGGGTGCAGGCAGAGCACACAGATCCCCAGGTGCAGTCCCAGCACACAGATCCCCGGGCTGCAGGCAGAGCACACAGATCCCCGGGTGCAGGCAGAGCACACAGATCCCCGGGCTGCAGGCAGAGCACACAGATCCCCGGGGTGCAGGCAGAGCACACAGATCCCCGGGCTGCAGGCAGAGCACACAGATCCCCGGGCTGCAGGCAGAGCACACAGATCCCCGGGTGCAGGCAGAGCACACAGATCCCCGGCTGCAGGCAGAGCACACAGATCCCTGGGTGCAGGCAGAGCACACAGATCCCCGGGTGCAGGCAGAGCACACAGATCCCCGGCAGGGCAGTCCCAGCGCGGCAGCAGCACCCACCTTTCACGGACAGCGGAGACTTCTCGCAGGGCAGCCCGGCCCTGGCCCTGCTGGAGCTGGCAGCGGCCATGGCATCACCCCCAGCTGCAAGCAGAGACAGGAGACAGCTCAGCCCCGCTGCCAGGGACCCGGGGAGCCCGGACACAGCCCCGTGTCCCTGCCAGGGCTGGGTGAGCCCCACGGGCTGGGCTCCCTCTCCTGATGAACCCCCTGCACCAAAGGCAGCGCTGTGACGCTGGGAGAGCAACCCCTGCACGGCAGCACCATGGGCTGAGCTGGGCACTGCCACCTCCTCTTTGGGCGCCTGAGCCCCTGACCCACAGACCAGGGCTGCTGGGGGACGGGGCAGCCACCAAAGCCTTGCCCTGGGGGACACAGGCTCACCACACATCAAGGACATGGCAGTGGCACCGGCTGGACACAGGGAGCTGGTCACAGCATGGGGACCACAAGCCTCTAGGGCAGCCCTGGTTTCACTATGGTACCAGATCCCATGGGATCGCTGAGGCTGGGAAAGGCCTCCAAGACCATTGTGTCACTCCCTGGACAAGAAGGACACTCTGTGACACCAGGGAGGGTGGCAGGACACATGGCCAGGGCTGGTGCCCAAAGCAGCAGCCGCAGAGCAGAGGGACGAGATGACACATCCCACAGGAGCACGAGACACCCTGGGCCTGCCCCAGCCTCCTCCTGCCGTTCCCAGGAGCTGCAGGGCACGGGGGCCAAGCTCACAGCCCGGCCCAGAACTGCCTGGCCAGGGCACTGCCAGCCCCCCTCCCCAACCAGGGGAAGCACAAAAACAGAGCAGCAGCCCCAGGCCCTGTCCCTGTGCAGGAGCCTCCCCTCTGCCCTCTCCCACATCCTCCCTGCACTGTACCGAGCTCCAGCCCATGGCACATTCCCTGTGGAATCCTCTCTGCCAGGGTCTCTGCTCTCCGTGCCAGCCCAGCAAACCTGCCTGGCACCCAGGGCCTGCCTGTGCCCCCACAGCCCCAGCTCTGCCTGCTGGGCACTGCCCGAGCACCGTCCCGGCTCCATCCAGCAGCAGCCAGGGCTCTCGGGCACAGGCCAGGCTGCTGCCCTCACCCTGAGGGCTGGCTCGGTGTCACACTCACTGTCACACTCACTGTGACACACTCACTGTCACACTCACTGTCACATGCTTGCTATCACCCCACTATCCCGGCCCACGGGTCACCCCCGCCTCCCCGAGGCCATCGGGTACCCCTGCTCCTCACATCCCACCCCACACGGATTCCACCGGGGCCGTGCTCCTCCTGTGCCAGTCCGTGCCCAGCCCCGGCCGGGCTGTTTCCATCCTTCCTCCTTCACATCCCGACTCTCTTCCTTCCCCGTTCCCTCTTTTCCCGACTCCACACCATTTCTCTGTCACTCGCCTGACACCCCCGGTCACGCCACCAAACGCCTCTGACCCCGGAACCTCTCGGTTCCCGGTGCCGCTGCCCGGGCACAGCTTCACCGCCCGCACACCCACAGCCCACAGCCCAGCGGGGCCGTGACCCCCTTGGCCAGGCCGACTCCTCCCTTCCTCCCCCGCTTTCCGTTTCCGACAGCCCGGCCCGGCCTCCCGGAACACCGGCGGGGCCGCCGCCCCGGCAGCGAGCACCGAACCCGCCCCGGGCCCGGCCGGTCCGGCCCCGCAGCCCCGCACAGACCCGGCCCGGCCCGCTGCGGGCACCGCGCACAGGAGGCGGCGGCCAAGGGCCCCCCCCGGCCCCGCCGTCCCGGGCCGCTACCGGCACCGGCTGAGCGGCTCCGGCGGCCGGAGCGCCCCACCAGGCCGTGTCCGGCGGGCGGACGGGAGCGCCCGGGCTGGGCCAGGAAACGACGCCGAGCCGAGCCGAGCCGAGCCGAGCCCAGCCCAGCCGAGCCGAGCCCAGCCCAGCCCAGCCCAGCCCAGCCCAGCCCAGCCCGTCCCGTCCCGTCCCGTCCCGTTACCGGCGGCCGCTCCGCTCCCGCTCCCCGGCTCCAGCTCCCACCGTCATGTGACCCCGGTCCGTCACGTGATCGCGCCGGCCGGAAGCGCTCCCGGGGCACGGCGCCGCTCCCGGCGTGCCCCGGCTGAACTGCAACTCCCGGCGTGCCCCGCGCCCGGACCACAACTCCCGGTGTGCTTCCCGAGGCGCTTCGACGGCGGCCGGGGTGGGCCATGGGGCACGCAGACATGGCGCGTGTTCCGCACGTCGTGGCCGACACGGGCGCGTTCCTGAGCGCGGCCCCGCTGCAGGTACCGGGGGAACACCGGGGAAACACCGGAGGGATGGGGGGGGTGGGTCAGGGCTTACGGCCCGGTGTGACGGCGCTGCCCACAGGACATCGCAGACGCGCTGTACACCGTGCCCGAGGTGCTGGCCGAAATCCGGGACCGGCCGGCGCGCCGCCGCCTCGCCGCGCTGCCCTGCGAGCTGCGGGTCCGCCGCCCGCGCCCCGAGCTGCTGCGCCTCGGTGAGTGCCGGGCCGGCCCCGCCACCGGCTCCTTCCCCCGCCGGAGCGGCCCCGCCCGGCTCGGCTCGGCCCGGCCCGGCCCGACCGCGCCGCTGCTCCCCCGCAGTGACCGAGTTCTCCAAGAAGACCGGGGACTACCCGAGCCTCTCGGCCGCCGACCTGCAGGTGCTCGCCCTCACGTGCCAGCTCCAGGCTGAGATCGACGGCCCCGGCTGCGTCCGCTGGGAGCCGCAGGACAAGGTAGGATGGGCGCGGGCACGGGGCCCGGTTCCAGCGGCCCGGACACGGGCCCCGGTTCCAGCGGCTCGGACACGGGCCCCGGTTCCAGCGGCCCGGACACGGGGCCTGGTTCCAGCGCCCCGCCGACGGCCCGTGCTGCCCCCCAGGTGCGGCTCAGCACCACCCCGCGGCACCCCGAGGCCCCCCTGCACCTCGCCGGCTTCCACCTGCCCGCCAAGGTAAGGCACGGCGGGAGGGAGGGGTGCCCGTGCCCATGCCCGTGCCGTGCCCCGGCTGAGGGTGCCCGTGCCGTGCCCCCAGCACAAGCCCGCGGGGAAGGGCTCACACCAGCCCAGTCCCAGCCCGGCCCCGGCGGAGAGCGATGAGTTCGGATCCTTCCTGTACTGGCGGCCGCCCCTGCCCAGCATCGAGGAGGAGCTGCGGGAGCTGCTGGTGAGAATCCCCTGGAGGCTCCTCCCTGCCCTCACTCTGCCGGTCCCGACCCCTCGGTGCCTGATCCTCTCCTGCCCCCCGGCCCAGGCCATCACCAGCAGCCCCGAGCAGCACCGGAGCTCTGCAGACGGGGCCAGCGCCGGCGAGGAGGAGGAGGATGAGGAGAGCGATGATGATGAAGGCTGGATAACTCCCAGCAACCTGAAGGAGGCCCAGCAGGACATGGGGCACTTTGACACTGCTCCCGTGGGTGTCCAGGTGGGCTGTGTCACCACGGACTTTGCCATGCAGGTGGGTGCTGGGCTGCAGCCGGGCTCAGGCTCTGGGACAGCTCCCTGTGTCAGAGCAGCAGGGTCTCAGTCCCAGAGGCCTCCCAAAGCCTGTGGGGCTCTGAGTGCCCCGGCTGGCAGGTCCCAGCTGCCAGGGTGTATCCCTGCTCTTGCAGAACGTGCTGCTGCAGATGGGTCTCCACGTGCTGGCTGTGAACGGGATGCTGATCCGCCGGGCCCGCAGCTACATCCTGCGCTGCCACGGCTGCTTCAGGTGCTGGGGCTGGGGCTGAGCCCGGGCTGAGCCCATGTTCCACGGCCCCAGGAGCTCTGAACCCCCGTCCCACCCTCGCAGGACCACCTCGGACATGACCAAGGTGTTCTGCCCCCACTGTGGTAACAAGACCCTCAAGAAGGTGGCAGTGAGTGTCAGCGAGGACGGGAGTCTCCACATGCATTTCTCCCGCAACCCCAAGGTGCTGAACCCCCGGGGGCTCAGGGTGAGTACCTGGACAGAATCCCAGACCCACTGAGGTGGGAAAAGACCATCAAGGTCATCGAGTCCAACCTGTGAGCGATCCTCACCTTGTTAGCCAGCCCAGAGCACTGAGTGCCATGTCCAGTCAATTCCTTGCACACCTCCCAGGATGGGGACTCCACCATCTCCCTGGGCAGCCCCTTCCCACCTTTAACAAACCCTTCTGCGAAGAAACGCTTCCATTGGGATCCCAGGGATGGGAGCCCAGCCTGTGGCTGGCAGGTTGGAGGGAATTAAGGCAAACTGAGAACATCCTCCAGATACTGTTGCACTTGCTCAGCTCTCCAGGGGGCTGTGCTCACCGGGGGTCCCTGGGAGCCGGGGCTGGTCCCTTCTCCCCGCAGTTCCTGATCCCTTCTCCCGGCATTACCCAATCTCTTCTCCCGCAGTACCGATCCCTTCTCCCGCAGTACCGATCCCTTCTCCCAGCATTACCCAATCTCTTCTCCCGCAGTACCGATCCCTTCTCCCGCAGTACCGATCCCTTCTCCCAGCATTACCCAGTCTCTTCTCCTGCAGTACCGATCCCTTCTCCCGGCATTACCCAATCCCTTCTCCCAGCATTACCCAGTCTCTTCTCCTGCAGTACCGATCCCTTCTCCCAGCATTACCCAATCTCTTCTCCTGCAGTACCGATCCCTTCTCCTGCAGTACCGATCCCTTCTCCCAGCATTACCCAATCTCTTCTCCTGCAGTACCGATCCCTTCTCCTGCAGTACCGATCCCTTCTCCCAGCATTACCCAATCTCTTCTCCTGCAGTACCGATCCCTTCTCCCGGCATTACCCAATCCCTTCTCCCGGCATTACCCAATCTCTTCTCCCGCAGTACCCGCTGCCGGCGCCGCAGGGCGGCAAGCACGCCAACAACCCGCACCTGGTGGAGGACCAGCGCTTCCCGCAGCAGCGCCTGTCGCGCAAGGCCCGGCAGAAAACCAACGTGTTCGACCCCGACTACCTGGCCGGGGCGTCCCCGTTCGCCGAGAACGACGTGCACAGCCGGGCCGCGCACCTGCAGCTGCGCGACGCCGCGCTGGGCGCCGGCCGCCGCCGCCTCAACCCCAACGCCGTCACCAAGAAGTTCGTCAAGAGGAGGTGAGGGCGGGACGGGCCCCGCCCGCAGGACCCACCTGCCCAGGTGTGCTGGGGGCTCTGCTGGGGCAAGGCCTCTGCCAGCACCTGGGCACGGGCCGGGCCATCCTGTCCCCAGAGGTGCCAGGCATCCTGTCCCCACTGCGCGGCGCCCGGAGAGCCGCCGTGGCTGCGGCGATGGTGACGGGGTTTGGGGAGGCCTCAGGATAAGGGAGGGTGGGTTGGCTTCTCTGGGCACCCTGGGCAGGGGCTGTGTCACCCAATAAACACCAAACCCCGAAGCCCCGTGACTCAGTCCCAGTTCTGTGGCTGCCTGTGCCAGGGGGAGCCTTTCCCTGAGCCTCGAGGAACGAGGAGGCTGGGGCAGAGGGAGGGAGGATTTCTTGGATCATTTGTCCCATGGGATAATGAGCTCCAGAAGGACAAAAGCCCAGGGCAGGGGGTTGTGTCCCACCCTGGCATTGGGGTGAAGGGGGCGACTCTGGGGTAAAGCTTTGTGGATAAATCCGCTGAAATCTTTCACAGCTGACTCTTGGGCCCAGCTCCTGCTGCAATTTCCCCTTAACCGTGGTGAAATTGTTCAAAGTAAGGAAACACCTGATAGCAGCTGTGGCCCCTGGTGCTGGGGAGGTCACAGGCTGCAGAGTGGGAGCAGCAAGGGGGAACACACCTGGGCCTCCCCAGCCCCAGGGCACTCTGAGTGTGCCAAAGCTGCAGATAAAGGGCATTGGGTAAGGCACTCACACATCCTGCTGAGGCCATGGTAACTTCCAGCATCTTGGCTTTGGACTCCTGGGACAGCCTCTGCCTCTCCCCCAGGGTTACTGGGGTCCCACACCACCGAGTCAGTGTGATTCTTCCCCAGGACCTCTTCCTGCAGCACCCTCTGGACATGCCCTTGGTAAAACCACCACAAGACTTTACAGTGTAAAATGAAAACTTTTCATTGTTTATTCTCGACTGCAGCTGTTTACAGAAATATAGTTGCGAGTATACAAATGTCCCAATAGAAGCAAAATATTTTTTTTTTTTTTAATATTCAACAAGTTATCACAGGAGAGCTAAAAACATAGATGCAAATAAAATATCCCCTCATAGACAAACTGAAAACACCGGGAATCAGTGCTTGGAAACCCACCTACGAAAGCCATATACACAGACTGCACGAAGGATATCTGGTGCTACTTTCACACTGCAGGACACAGAAGAGGCAGCTCAGCGGTCGAGGGTGCCCCCAGAACATCTGGCAGGCAGGGCAGAGCCCACCCGAGGTGCAGGGACAGAGACAGAAGCTCTGCTCTGAAGGGGTTGGAGCTTAACTCAGCATCAGCTCAGGTGGAAATAATTCAAATTGCCTCCTTTTACCCAGAATAAAAAAGCTCCAGGAATGCTACAGGCTGTTAAGGGTACTGGAATGGGATCCCAGCTCTGCAAGACCCAGAGAGCCACTTCCCAACAGGAACCTCCCCCTGGACACCTTATCCCAAGGGGCAGCTCCAGGGCCAAAACAAAGCCAAGGCCATGTCCCTGTCAGGGAACACAGGAGCCCTCCCTCATGCCAGGCCTGGAGCTGCAGTGTCACAGAGGGCTGCTGGCACCTGAACAGGGCTCAGCGAGCAGGGAATCCCTGGGTTCCCTGCCCTGGCCCTACACAGTCAATGTCACCGGGCAATTTAGTGACGTGTAACAGCAAAAATGACACATCCCTGCAAAAAGCAGAGTTCAGCTCTGCAAACTCCAGGAGAACAAAGGAGGACACTGGCTCTCAGTGTGGTGGGGGTGATTTAAGAGGCCTGTACCAGGATAACACTGATCCACTCAGGACAAATTCCAGTGGAACACGGATTTGGAATTGAAAGCCACGTTGGACACAATACACGTTATTGAATGCATGACCTGATTTAAAGGCTGGAGCTGTGCCAGGGCAGGTTTAGGTTGGATTTCAGGGAAAGGTTCCTTCCCCAGAGGGTGCCGGCACTGCCCAGGGAATGGGCACAGCCCCGAGGCTGCCAGAGCTCCAGGAGAGTTTGGACAATGCTGCCAGGGATGCCCAGGGTGGGATTATTCAGGTGTCTGTGCAGGGACAGGGGCTGGACTGATGATCCCTGTGGGTCCTTTCCAGCTCAGGATATTCTATGATTCTTAGGGTTTAATTCCTCACACAAACTGCAAGAAAGAAATCAGCACGAGTGGTGGCAGGTTCCTCACAGACAGAATTCAAGGGGAGCTTCACTGGCTTTCAAGGAGCTCTCTAGATTTTGATTGTTGCACTAATGAATCAGGTAAAAAAATCAGTTTACAGACTGCTGCCCTCATGGGAATAAAGAGAAATGGCAGAGGAGCTTCCCCTCCTACCCAGCAGAAGCAGGGACCTTCTGCTAACAACAACATCCCACACAGCCCAGCACCACCAACCCCTGTCTGCAGCAGCTGCTGCCACCCCGGGCATGGAAACGGCTCTGAGGGGAAGCCCAGGGATGCTCAGGGCTGCAGGAGGCCCAGCCTCAGCCTGGGTGTCAGCTCTATCCCAAACCACATCTGCAAGTATGAACTAAAATATTTAAACCCCAAAAGTGGCCACAGCTGCTTGCAAGGCACAGATCCCAGCGAGGTTCCCAAGCAGGACAAGTTCTGGATCCATGTCACCAACAGGACACACGGCCAGGACTGACAGGTGGGACAGCTACTCATGAGTTACTACAAAAACCTCCCACCGAGGAAAAGGAGTATTGTTTCATGTTTATAAAAATGCAAATATAACAGTATTCTAATGCTGTGTCTACTATTTATATATAATAATCTGACTCCTCTATATACATATATATAATCCTAGAATATACAGGCAGTGCATATTTACATCCCTATACAGACTGGGAGAGGAAAAGCCTCTCCTCCTGTGGGACCTCCCAATTTCCCAATTTCCCTTCGGCAGGAGTTCACCCCCTGCTGCATTTCTCCTTGTTCCTAACACATTTAACCCATTCCCAACGCTGACCCTCGGTGCTGTGGCACCACAGCTGGCACAGCTGGCCTGAGCAGGAACACCAAGTGCTCACAGGCTGCCCCAACAGACTAAACCAGCCCAGATTAAAGCAAAGCCCCTGAACAAACACAGCATCCCACTGCTGTCTGCGTTTAGCTGCTATAGAACGGAGCTGCCCCGAGCCCCCTGAACACAAACCCCCCCAAAACCATAAAATTCCATTTTGCACTAATGAGCAGTGACCAGAATTCCCTGTTCTTGCCTTCCACCTGCAGCTCGGAGCAGGCCAAGCAATTCCCTCTGCTCTCTCCTGCTCCCCTCACTCAGATCCACGTCTGTGCTCCCTCTGCTCTCCCACAATGGCCCTGCGAAAGGAACCCAACCGTCTGCCAAGCAGAGGCACAACAAAACAGGAATTAAAATCCATTCAGATGTATTTTCCTTTCAGAAATGAGATTCTAAATCAAAATATCAATGGAAACTTTAAAAAATAAAGTTCAGCTTATGCAAGTGAGGGGAATGTCCACTGACACAGCTGCCCAGTAAAAACCTGCCAAGGTTTTGTTTAACTGCTCGTGCCTTGTTTTATCTCAAAACTACATGGAAGCAGCCACCCTGTCAGAAGATCAGAAGAAATCATCACTGATCAGAGAGGGGACACCCACTTCAGAACAGCCAGCCTGGAATTATTTCTTGAACTAGATTTGTGTTAAAATAAGAGCAAAGCATTTGGCTTGCAGCAAGACCGGGCAGTGAGGAGGCAATTAATACCAAAGCTACTGTTAATTAAGCACAAAGCACCAGTGACTCCGCCAGAGGAGATGTTCAGCTCAAACTGCACCGAGTGTGGCTCTGTGGTGTCTGGGTGGGCTCTGGGCACACTCGGGGTAAAAGCTGAGGGGACGTGGGGGGGGTTGGCAGCTCCATCTCCCTCAACCCTCACCTGTGCCCACAAATGGGTGCTCTGGGACCCCAGGGATGCTGGACTGACACAGCCTGGCACCTCAGGGTCCCCTCCGTCACACAAAGGGCCCGATGGGACACGATGGGACACAGAGAAGCTCTGCTGCCCAACCTCAATGCTCAGAATTGAATGTTCAGGGCCCTGGGCAGCCCCAGCCGTGGCTCAGGCTGCGCTCCCTGCCCTGACACCCTGCAGCCCGTCCTGAGCTGCTCTGGGGCTGCTCCAACCCCTCCGCCCCAGAGCCACCGCTGAGCGACCTCTTCAGTCACACAAATACTTCTTGGAACCAAATCACATGTTCAAAGTGTTGTACATTTAAACATTGACCTAAAATGAACAGGAAAATTTAACACGAGGAAAGGAAGGTGTTTCCAGAAGGGAAAACTGGGATAGCACAGCCCTTGGTTGGTTTTTTGTGTATGTTTTTTTCCCTCTTCTCTTCACGAGTGACCTCAAACACGCCCACAATTCAAACATACCCTTCCCTGGAGCTGTGGCAGGCTTGGGATGAGGTTCTCTTCTGGGCACTCATCCTGTTCCACGGAGAATTGGTCCCTGGTGACTTGGCACTGACCCACAAAAGGATGGAGCCCTTGGGAACAAGGAGCAAACCGAAGCAGCGCGCGAGCGGATCCGTCGTTCCTGTCACTCCTTCCGTGTCCCAACAGCTCACCCTGGGACACACATCCTGCAAACACCACCAGTTCCTTTCCCAGCGAGTGCCTATGGACTTCCACGGCCCTCTGGACGTTGTTGGGTCCATTGTTCTCAGCCTGAGCAGCCCCACGCAGCAGCTGGGCACTGCTGGGGGCTGCTGCTTTCGTCTTGCGAACCGTTACAAGATGTTGGTAATGTTTTGTCTTAGCAGGGGAAAAAAAAAATTAAATACAGAAAGAAGAAGTCTGGGTCGGGGTTAAAGCAGCTCTGGACATGATGCAGCGGGGAATTCTTTCTGTCCTGATTAAAATTTCCAACGTTTGAGCATAATCATAAATTAGGAGTTAAAACACAGAGGCGCTAATAATAAAATATTAAATAGGCAACGAGAGTGGAGAAAAGCTGAATGGCTCATTCTGAGGGAAACCCCAATATTTCATGTTTTATATAATCCTAAATGCCTCTGGGTTTCCTGGCTAGGCTGTGAGTGAGGGACACACCAAACACAGAGCGAAGCTTCTCGTGGCCAGCTGGACCAACACTGCCTGATGGAATGGCGAGAGATGAACACGTTATTTATGTTGCAAAAAGTACTTAAATACTCAATAAAGACATAACAAACCCCACCCCACCCCACTGTTATCAGACGCCACGTTGTGGTAGAACATCAGACAAACTCACAAATTTACCACAAAAATGTGTGGCAAAAAGAATATTTTATATATATGTATATATATAAATTTTTATATTTATGCCAATGTACTCACTCAGTACAAATAGCAAAATAGTTATACCATTTCCTAAATACAAAATATAGCTTTCCAAAAAAATGAAACACACATTAGATATAAACCATCCAAAACTTGAACGATTGAAAACTGTATTCAAAATTAAATGACCCAGAGCAGGTCTCTTTCTGAAAAGTTCCCTTCATATCGGCAAGAAGCCTTACTACTGAAAACGTAATTCAATGCCTCTCAATGAGAGAGAGAAAGAGAGAGACAGAAAGAGAAAGTGAACGTGGGACAGACCAACAAACGGGGAGATCCAGGAAAACCAAGGAGAACTCTACACGGCTCAACTACGCACACGAGTTAAGGGGAAAACACACAGTAAACAGACTCGAGGAACTTAAAAAAAAACCCATTTACAGACTGTTCCTTTGTTATTTCAAATAACAAAAATGAAGAATGACGTGATACCAGCTACACTCCACCGAGGCGGAACGGGCGCCGCGGGAGCGGGAGAACACGGATCTCACGAGGCCGCAGTGAGAGATCACACACTGTCTGGAGAGTTGAAGCACCCAAAAAATCCACAAGCCTCACAATACACCTGCACGGTCTGGAGTGGGTTGTTTTTACATTCGGTAACATCAGTCGATGATTTACTCCTTAATTAAACATGACAATCTAGAAACCAGACTTGGGGCTCGGTGGTAGAAAAAGGAAAAATCACTTCAGAACTGCGATGAGCTCCATGTGCTACAAGGATGCAACAGCTCGGGATGAAGTGACCTTTTAAGAAGGCTTAAAAATGATACAATTTGCCCCCTACTTGGAGTAAAGCCAAGCTGAAGATTTCCATCAGTCACAGCTGGAAGTGGCGGGTTAAGGGGGATTCCTGCAATTACAAGGTGGTGGAGAAATTGCTTCCTCTCTCCTTACTCCTTGATTATTTGTCAAAGCTTCTACTGACTAAGCAATTTACTGCCAAGGATTCCTAAAAGCTGTTTCTTTAGCTTTAAAGCCAGTAGGATATTTATGTCTTTTTTAAAAAAAAACAAAATACAAAACTGAGGGAGAGAAGGAAAACCATGGAAAGAATAAAAGGGAGAAGGCTGGTTTGGGAACAGCTCATGAGGCTTCACAGAGCTCCAAGCCATCAGTCAGAAGGAGAGACACAGAGGAGTCCCTTCCTCAGCCACACAGAATGTTCTTTTCAAGCTGAAGGTGTTTTAGAGAAGATTTTAAGATCAGCTGGAAGTTCCCCTTCATTTCTTCAATTTTGTAGAGCCACCAAACCCTTGCTCTACGTACAGCTCCACGTAACTCCAGCTTCCACAGATGTGGAAAACCGTTTAATCCCATTCCCAGATGGGAACTGGTTATTTACAGCAGCAATTCTCTGCTTGGTTATTACAGTTAGCAATACTTCCAATTGATGAAGGGTGGGCCTGGCTCTCCCACTCCGTGTCAATGGAGAGATCCCTTCACTGGCTGACAGCTGAGTCAGGCTCGGGGCACAGGCAGCTGCTGCTCCTGCTGCACGAGCTTCCCGAGGGAAAAAGGGATGGGGGGAAGGAACAGCAGGGAAAAAGTAAACGTGGTAACACGGATTACCTTCCAACAACAATAATAACTGACCAGATATGCTTTAAATTCCAAGAGCCCCCACTGTAATGAGGTTCATGAACCTGGTAACAGCCCAACCCCACGCCCCAGTAACACAAAGCATAACTCCTCAGCATTATTGGCACTGTGGAGCCCACACTCCATGGTCATGGCCTCAGGTCTGCCACTGGCCACGCTGTGCTCTTAAAGAGGCCACTTTTCCACAGAAGCAATTGGTTCCACGCAGCCTAATCCAGAGTTGGAAGGTCTGAGAGGATCTGGGAAATCGCCGCTTTTTTTTCTCCACGGAATTTCTGCGTGAGAGAACAAGCAGAGAAGTCAGGCATAGCTAACCACAGTCCCCTCCTCCTTCTGTGCACCGGCTTCATCCTCAGGTGCTCCTCATGAGCAGGCACTGAACTGGGGGCGAGGAGCAAGAGCAGCTCTGGAGAGACTCCAAACTCCACAAACAAACCCCTTTAGCCCAGGGAATGACGTGCATCACTTCAGTGAACACTCGGGGGGGGATTTGGGACAAGACCACCCCAAGTTACCACAACCAGCACTGGACTCCAGAGTCCTCCTGCCTCTTGGTGCTCATTTGTAGTCAAAGGCTCTTCCCCCCTCTGAAAAAGGCACCTTCTAAAAGCAGACTGTCTCCTAGCAACAGCTGATGCTGTTTCTAACACAGCCTCAGCATGTGGCACACTCAGGAGCTGCCACATTCCACCAAAACTTGTTTTCACACTACATTATTGTAACCCAGGGGAAGAGTTCAGAACAGTTCAAAAACAGTTCAAACTTGAGGTGTCATTTACTCAGAAAGTCTCAAGTTTTTTAACCACAGTCATGTTTCATAAGGTTTTGATCTGCCAAGCTGCCAGTGGTCCACTCTCCTCCCTCACAAAGAACCCGACTCTCACGGCAGATGACAAAACGTAGGAAAAACGAACAAGACACAGCCTCAACTGTTCCATACAACTTCTGACCTCTGACTGGTTTTAACAACTTCATTCTGGTATTGTAGTCTTAATTCAGCCTCACTGGTGCTTTAGCTGACCTCTTAAAGCACGGTCCCACACTGCAAGGCGTAAATGCACCGAACAAAGCCCCTGCACAGAACCCAGAGACCCAAACTCACCACTTGCCTCGTTAGAAGGAGCCGGCCATGTTGTTGCCCTGGTTCTGCAAGGACACGAGCAGGTCGTCGATCTTCTCCATGTTCTGGTTGGTGGCCATGGCCGGGGGCAGCGGGGGGGTCTCGGGCAGGGGCTGGGGCAGGAGGGCGGGCACGGGGGGCTGCGCCTCGCCCTGCGCCTGCCCCGGCTGCCCCATGGCCATCAGCTCCTCCGGCAGCGCCGCCGGCCCGGGGGGCAGCAGCTGCCCGCAGTCTGGGGACACAGGGACAGCTCAGGGTCCTGGCACGGGCCACAGTGCCCGCAGCAAAGCCACAGCCCACCGCCACCAGCTGGGCACCCACCCTGGGAGAGCTGCTACAGCCTGGTGTGAGCAACACCTGCACCCCTCACTGCTGGGACAGCTGCTACAGCCTGGTGTAACCAACACCTGCACCCCTCACTGCTGGGACAGCTGCTACAGCCTGGTGTGAGCAACACCTGCACCCCTCACTGCTGGGACAGCTGCTACAGCCTGGTGTGAGCAACACCTGCACCCCTCACTGCTGGGACAGCTGCTACAGCCTGGTGTAACCAACACCTGCACCCCTCACTGCTGGGACAGCTGCTACAGCCTGGTGTGAGCAACACCTGCACCCCTCACTGCTGGGACAGCTGCTACAGCCTGGTGTGAGCAACACCTGCACCTCTCACTGCTGGGACAGCTGCTACAGCCTGGTGTGAGCAACACCTGCACCCCTCACTGCTGGGACAGCTGCTACAGCCTGGTGTGAGCAACACCTGCACCCCTCACTGCTGGGACAGCTGCTACAGCCTGGTGTGAGCAACACCTGCACCCCTCACTGCTGGGACAGCTGCTACAGCCTGGTGTAACCAACACCTGCACCCCTCACTGCTGGGACAGCTGCTACAGCCTGGTGTGAGCAACACCTGCACCGCTCACTGCTGGGGCTCACAGGCACCCACAGAGCTCTGCACACAGACAAAGGCTCTGCAGCCCACATAACTGGCCATGGAGCCTGGGTCCAGAGAGGAGACAAGGCAAAGTACAGGTTTGTACAGCTAAGGACACTTTAACAGACACTTCTCTGGGCTCTACACCTTCTAAAATTCTCGCTTTCCTTCAGCAATGTGAAGAGAGGCAACACATATATTGTGGAAATCAAAAACAGCCACAGAAATGCTCTCTTAGGAGAGGCACAATCATTCCTAGATTAGATATTACTGAGAGACTCTTCCCTGCGAGGTGGGCAGGCCCTGGCACAGGTGCCCAGAGCAGCTGTGGCTGCCCCTGGATCCCGGGCAGTGCCCAAGGCCAGGACAGGGCTGGGAGCAGCCTGGGGCAGTGGGAGGTGTCCCTGCCATGGCAGGGGTGGGATGGAACGGGCTTTGAGGTCCCTTCCCACCCAAGCCATCCCCTGTTTCTATGGCAGCTCTCCCATGCAAGCTCAGCGCGGGGCACTGTCACTTACTGTTCTGGATGCCGAACAGGAATATCCCCGAGGTCTGCTGGGACGGGGCAGGGGAGCTCTGCAGCTGGTTGATGGCCCCTCCTGCCGTGTTGTGGAACAGAGGAGCCTGCTGCTGGGGAGGAGAAGCAGTGCCTGGCATTCCTGCCATGCTGTTCTGGGAGGAGTACATGGGGGACTGCTGCAGCTCCGGCTGGCTCATGCTGTTCTGCAGGGCAGACATGGAAGCTGAGGAGATGAACAGGGTGACTTGCTGCTCTTGAGAACTTGGGGACCCTTGGACCAGCTGAATCTGGGGCGAGTTATGGAAGATGGCTGGCTGCTGTGCTTCAGCCTGGCTGGAGCCAGGATTCTGGAGAGAAGACACTGTGCTCTGACTCTGGAATTGCATGGGCTGCTGCTCCTGATTCATCGAGGCCATGTTGGACTGTGGATGAAAGATGGACTGGCCTTGTTGCTCCTGATTGGTGACTGGGTTTGGGTTCGGATTGAAAATCATGTTCTGCTTTTGGGGGGCCATTGTACTCATTGCATTTTGACTGCTGAACATCATGTTCTGCTGCTGCTGCTGCTGCTGCTCCTGAGAGGGAGGGCTGCTCTGGATGGCAACAATCGAATGCTGAGGCTGGAAGATGGCTCCTTGTTGGTTCTGAGGGATGGAGCTGGACTGGATGGAGCCCAACGACACCTGGGACTGAAACAAACCCTGCTGAGCTGGCTGAGTCTGGGGCTGCTCCTGGGGAAGCATGGAGCTCTGGATATGAGAGATCTGCGTCTGCTGCTGGAAAGAAGTCTGCTGTTCAGTGTTTGTTGCTGTCTGAAGAGGAGAAATGGGGTTTGGGCTTGTGAAGAATGACATCTGCTCTTCCTGAGTGGCAGGGTTGCTCATGGAACTCTGGGAAAGGAACATGTTGGCAGACTGCTGGTCTTGAGGCACCGAGGAGCTCTGCAAGACACCCATGGCATTCTGTGAGTGGAACATGGGGGGCTGCAGTTGGTCAGAGGAATTAGTGTTGGTCTGGTTGTGGACAATGGAATTTGAGCTATGAAAAAGGGATCCTTGCGTTTCCTGGGATATATTCTGAGCATCACCAATAGGGTTCTGAGAGTGGAAAAGCTGAGCTTGTGAGTGTGGGGACTGTTGGATGAAGCTTCCCGACTGAATGGACATCATTTCTCCACCTTGCTGGAACAGAGCCCCGCCCTGCTGCTGAGTCCCACTGGCCTGGACACTCATCATGGTCTTGGTGGATGAGAAGAGATTGACCTGGGACTGACTTTCCCCGCTGTGCTGCATCTGGACCATGGTCTGAAACACAGAGCTCTGCATCTGTTTGCCCTGGCCCGAGGCCTCCTCTCCCTCTGCAGAGCTGCCGGGCTGGAACATGGCAGCGCCGCTGCTGGACACGGGCTGCTGCGCGGGGGCGGCCGCCTCGCCGCCGGCCACGCCCGGGGACGAGGAGAACAGCTCGCACTGCATCTGCATGTCCTCGCTGCCGGACAGGCCGCCCATCATGTGCGACGCCTGCTGGTACACCGGGGACTGCTGCAGGGCCCCGTTCCCCGCCGTGCTGGACGAGAACAGCTCCGACTGCATCTGCGAGGCCGCCTGGCACATGTTCTGCTGCATGTCCATCACCATGGCCGCCGAGGTCTCCATGGCCTGCTGCTGCTGCTGCTGCTGCTGCTGGCCAGACAGGGCACCCTCGGGCTGCGGGTGGACGCTCTCAGCTCGGCCGGGCAAAAGGTTCTCTGCTCTGGAACGGACAGCTGCGTCTGAGGAGGAAAACATCCCGGGGTTCACGCTGCTCTGTATCTGGCTGACCTGCTGAAAGATGTCTGCGTTCAGCTGATCCTGGACATCCTCGCCGCTGTCTGAGCCCGAGAACAGAACGGAAGATAGCTGCTGCTGAGCTTCCAGAACCTGCTGCACCAAGTCGACGTTCCTGCTGCTGCCCGTGGCGGTGTTGGTGGGGAAGTTCCCAGCCTGGAGCTGCTGGATGGTGTTCTGGAGCTGACTGACGCCGCTGGCCGACGAGAAGATGCTCGAGGAGATCTGCTGCTGCAGGGCCTGGGCCGGCTCCGGGAGCGGGGGCTGCGGCTGCTGCTGCGAGGCCTCGGCCAGCTGGGACAGAGCCACCACGGCGCCGTCCGACTGCAGCACCTCGCGGGGCTGCGACTCCCTGCCCGGGAACGGGGCCGCCTGCTGCAGCAGGGCATCGCTGCTCTGCAGAATGCTGCCGGGCTGGGAGATGTCCTGCGGCTGGATGGTGCTCAGGGGCTCCGCGTTGAACACCTTGGGCTGCAGCTGCTGCTGGCTTTCGCCTTCAGAAGGTAAATGGGAAGCAGAAGTTGATATGCCGGACATGCTGTTTTCCAATGTTTGCTGAGTTGGTCCGACCACATTCGAAGCCTGAAAAGAGCAAGAGATTCGGTAATTTATAAACTTACTGGGGTTATGGAAATACAATTTCCCCAAATCCCCCATGTCCAGGGAAGATCAGAGGGAGACGTGAGATGTGAAACCCAGACACACCCAAACCAGCAAACAAATGATCAGCAGCGCAAATGCTACTTCAAGGATGGAATCGCAGCTTAATGAAAGCAATGCTAAGAACTGATTAAAAGAATATTCTTACAGTAATTTACCAGCTCTGTGTCACAGGACAAAAATCCCCATCACAGGGTCACTAACCCATCAATCTGTCTGGGGGCAGGAACCAGGTGAGTTATTAAAGGAAATTGTGTGTTTTACTCATGCTCTGTAACTGTGTTTTGCCCAGACTGATCCTGCACATGGCACTTTCCCTGTCTATTCCTCTTCTCCACTGCTAAAGCACAGACCAAGGAGCAGATGTACCTCAGAGTCTGCAAGCTGGGGTGCTCAGCTCCCCCAAACTCACCTGGAACACAAGGGGAGAGCATTTCTGTGCACTTACTTCCATTGGAGCCACATCTTCATTCTTGATCATACTGCTTGGCATGAGTGGAGTTATCAAGGCACTAGGAAGAATGTTCACCTTCTCCAGGTTACAGCCCGTGGCCTTCACTGCTGCAGCCACAAACAAAACCACAACAAGAGGGGCAATGGTAAAACCATTCCAGAACTCCCTTTAAGTAAATTACAGAATTACTCTTCAACGTAAAGCAACAGATCTCCACACCCTGAGCAAATTTAAACCTTTCAGTAAGGTGGCAGTAAAATTTCTGCACACGTGTACAGAATGAGGAAGGACAGAACACACCAAGTGCATACAGCAAACAAAATTCTCTGACCTCTGGTTCAGAGTCAGCCTGGAGTAGAACAGGTACAGGAATGAGGCATCAATGAGGAGCTGACACAGAAACCCCCATGAGAGGGTAAATTCAGATTTACTGCATAAATTAACTGAGGACATGAAGGAACAGCAACAGCACGTTGTGTTCCAAGGAGCAGCAGCTGTTCTGGAGCAGTTGGGACCTTCCCTCAGTTAAGCTCCACACTAAATCAGATGGATGTCAGGCTTACCCTGTGTATTAGTTTATATATTTGCTTAAATTAACACTACAGAGTTTCTAATTCTTTTTGATATCTGCAATCCTAGGCTTTTTTTTTATTCTTCATTTGCAAACAGACTAAAAAAAGATTAGACTGCAGAGCCTGATGTATGATTTCTTTTTAATTAGTCTTATTTTTTGCCTTTTTTTTGTTATTAGCTTGTACTAAAATATACTGATAGGAATTTTGTTATAAAGTAAAAGTTTCAGAGTCAGAAAACAAACCTCCCTGTAAGAACAGGGCCAGATTTTATAAGCACAGACTTATCACAGGATGTCTGATTCATTTCACCAAATCTGGGTAGGAATTCATAGTTAAATTATTAAGAACACTGATAAGAATCAATTTAGTACCTTTTATAGCCTCTTCAAAAGAACAATGTTGGGCTGGGCTGGAGATTTCCTTCTTCACATTAACATTCAGAGTCCCAGCTGCCGAGACAAAACACATTGAGAACTTCCTTACGTTAAATCAGCAAACAAGCCAAAAAAACACAAAGCACACCAAAACAATTCCTTATAGCTTAAAGAAATTCAGTTCTTTGAAACCCACACAAACCTTTGCACTGTCTATTGTGATACAGATAAATAAATAAACTGAAATACATGAAGTGGGCAAATTGCAGCTTTCCTCAGGATAAAGCCTGCTGGGATTTCTTGGTTATTTGGTGCATTGTATGGGATATGTTGATTTTTTTATCCTGCTCAGCTTCATTTTGATCCTTTAACTAGAAATGGATGCTGCTATACAAGAGCTGTCACAAGGCAGCTGGAATTTGAAGTATTTGGCACATAAATGAGAAAAGCAACGTGTTTAGGTTTTATTATGGACAGAGCACCACTGTCCAGCAGGGGGGTTTGGGAAGGTGCACGTTGCTGAGCAGGTGAGCAGGCCCTGCCCCCCCAGGGCTCCCCACACACCTGGCTCTGGAGTGTAGGTGAAGGGCTGCACGTCGTGAGATCTGCCAGCGTTGGTCACCACGTAAATTCCCACCGAGACAGCTGAGGTGATTTGCTGGTCGTGATATGGTGGCACCTTCACAATAAGGTGATTCTGCAAGGCAAAAGGACCACATTTCCTTACTACTGATCTTAATTCTCCTTACTTACACCAAAAGACAGAAATAGGCTGATAAAACACCATAAACAAAAGCCCAGGGCACTGGGGGCAATGCACATGTGGGATGCTGCCCTTGATGGCACTTTCCTGACAGCCTTTGCAGCCACAGAATCCATAAAGACACTTATTGTGTCAAAAAGATTAAATATTCCATAAAACATTCCAAAGTGGAACAAAACTCAGCCAGTTATAAAGACTATGCTGTACACACAATCTCCTTACATGGAAAACTGAATTAGGCCTTTTAATTCCATTGCATGTAAGGGCAAAGACCTGCTCAGCAAACCCACTGTGGGATCCAAGCTCTCACTTAGACACTGAACAATTTCACTGGTGTAAAACCCAGATTATATTCCACCAGACTCACAGCAGACCTTACGTGAAAAAAATTAGTTTTATTTCTAGAAATGCACAGAAAGAGGGAAAGGGTTGATTATTTTTTCTTTGGAAACAGTCAGTGTATTTTTTAAATTAAAAATATAACGGTAATAGTAATAGTAGTAGTAGCAGTAGTAGTGACAATAGTAGTAATAATAAAAGCAATAGAGTAAAATAATACCTGATGAAATAATTCCATGTCAATTTCAGCTTCTGCCTTCCAAGAATTCTCATCTAAATGAAAATTAAAAAGCCTGGGTTAGTGCACATCCTAAAATTGCACAGAGCAATTTGTTTCAGTGCCTCTGCTCCTCAGTTTGCTGTCCCTGACTGAGCTTTACCCAGCAGTGAATCCCAACCCCAGGCTCTGCTCAGCACCCCAAGCCAGCCCTGCTTTCACACTAACCGGAAACATTCTCTTGGAAAATCACTTTTGTTCCCTTTAGGAAGTTCTTGCCAATCAGAAAAACTTCCTCTTCACCCTTCACTGAACAGCTGTGGAGACTTTTCTTTAGGATCTCTGGGACTCCTGCTGGCTGAGCTGCAAGGGAAAAAACAGAGTCTGGAATCAAGGGAACATCAACATCCAAACCAAACCACTTTTACTTACAGGGTTATGAAGGAACAACTGAAACTCCTGAGCTTCTTTCCTTATCATGCATTTCATGACAAACTCTTCAGAACATAACCATTCCTATTATTTCCTCACCAAATGTAATGAGCTCACAGAAAGCACAATAATCACTTGTTCTGCTCTGGAAAAGAGCAGAAGGAGCAATTCTCCTATTACCTGGGGGGCTTTGCACAGATTTTTTTACATGCCACAGTTTTCTGTCAGGTGCAAGAACTAACCCAGGGCTTGGAGCAACCTGGTGTCCCCTGGCAGGGGTGGAATGGGATGAGCTTCAAGGTCCCCTCCACACCCTTGCAAGACTCACATCTCTGGAGCTGGGAATTTTAGCAACTTGAATCAAATAAACAAGCCAAGGGGATGTGATTTTACAGATATACATGCCTGGATGCCCCTGTGCCAGAGGTCCAGATGATGATTTATACCATTCTTATCATAAACTGCCACTGCTGCAAACCATTCCTACTCTTCTTAAACCTTAAATAAATAGGACCACGTGTGCTAAACACAAATGAGCTTAATGCAAATCTGCTAAATGACAGACAATTTAAACAGAGATACATTTTAAAATAATGTGTTTTGACACGTTCAATATAAAATAATTCTGGTTTCTAACAAAGGTTCCTCAACCACCTTTTCTCCTCACACACCTGCCCAGGGCACACACCCAGACTCGTGTTTCTGCACTTGCCTGGCCCACTTTGAGTGTTTAATAACAATATTCTCTGGGCTTACTACACAGCAGAACATACATCCTGTACCACTCCAAATTATTTAATGACCTTTCAGAAAGGATTTTTCTACAACTCTGGCTGCAGGTTCCCAGGCAACCGTTACGCAACGACTGAATATGCTCAAGGCACATGAAAAGAGTAACTGGATTTAGGTTTGCTAACAAGTTAACAAAGCCTATTTAAAACACAGCCCTCAAATAAAGAGCCTGCAGCTCCTTAATGCCTTCTCTAAGGTTTCAGGAACATTATAAAACACAGTGTGAACAGGCTCTGATGAGTGTAAATGCACACCTTGCTGCTAAGGTACATTACATACCTGTAGTAAGGTTTATGTAGCAAACTAACCCAGTGTAATGTGCCTGAGGAGATGATTTATATTCAATAAACAACACATTTCATGCCATTTTGATCAGCCAGTAGCCATGTGCCAGCACTATTTGCTTGCCCAATGTCTGCTGCAAGTCCCTGCAGCTCTGGCATGAGTTAAGACAGAAGCAGAGTCCTGGAAGGAGCCTCAGGAATTCCCCTCCCAACCTTCACACCATGATCAGTTTATTCACATACTCCCCAAAGACACAGTTCTGACCAGAGCATTTTGTTTCTGTGATCTAAGACTTCCAGCAGAGGAGACACTGTAGAATTCCTGGGCAATCTCTTAGCAACTTACACAATTGAGAATATTTTCTTAGCAAGTGACCAAACCCCAGCCTGCCAAAAACCAAACCAATTTACTCTTTGCATCAAATGCAGCTTTTTTTAGCTCAACAGCCTATTTTAAAATCAGTGTCTAAATGCTTCATCTCAGACTCTCAGCTTCCACTCACAATAGCAAGTTTTGGACTGTTAAAGAAAACATCAGGTGGCTTTCAGTCCCTTTTCTTCTATGGGTAAAATAATTTTATCTTTAACCAGAAAGTTACAAACAAAAGACATACAGGAATGCTTTTGAGATTTTATAGAAAATGGTTTTATCTTAAATCTGAAAATTAGTATCAGATACTCCATTATTGTGAAATACCACCGCAGTCTACTGACTGGAATGGAGCTGTGAAGATGACTGTACTTCTAAAAAATAACCCCAAAAAATCCTTTTTATACCATGGAAAGAGCACAATACGAGTGCCCAGGAGCTTCTCTACTCTCTCCATGCAAAGACAAAGCTCTCCATCTCACTCATTGAGATAAGAGGTGGAACAAGATGAGCTTTAAGGGCCCTTCCAGCCCAAACCATTCCATGATTCCACAATCCCCTTTTCCCTGTTGGTCAGAGGAAGCTCCCCAGCCAAGGCAGCCATCTGTGCTCGTGCTAAACAGAGCAGTTTAATAAAGAGCTATAAAAAGTTTTGTTCCTGCACTGAACCAGAACAGATTCAGCCTCTGGCCCACGCAAGGACCGCAGCTGGGAGAGCTAGGCCTGCTGACTTACTGCAAGTCCTGGCCAGCACTGAAAGCTGAGGCACGAATGTGACAATACAGAAGAAACTCAAAGTACTAACCATTGTTTTTCAAAGCAATCACAACAAAACAGTGAAATTTTAGGAGGCAAAAATTCATTGAACTGAGGATCAGGAACTGTATCACTATTTTTCAATACTGGACAATAATTTTAACAATTACCCCACCATAAATAAAAACCAATCCACTTGATTTCAGCTACAGCAATTCTGAGATTATGACAGATTAACACAGGGCTGGTTTTCTACTCCCCAAGGTATTTTGACAGCATCACAGCATCATTTAGGTAGGAGACCATGCAGCACAAGCTGTGCCTGACCCCAGCCCAGAGCACTCAGTGCCACCTCCAGCCCTCCTTGGGCACCTCCAGGGCTGGGGACTCCAGACCTCCCGGGGCAGCCCCTTCCATGCTGAGATCACACCAAAGCCCAGAGCCCCTGCTCTCAGCCCCGTGGTGTGACACTCACTGCACAGGATTGGGGAGGAAGGCGTCTGCAGGGTCAGCGTGGAGCCGTCCTTGCGCGTGATGTTGACGCGAAAGACGAGCCGAGCGCGGGTGCTCTTCTTCTTGGAGCCCGCAATCCCTATCCTGGCTTCCACATCAGCATTCCTCAGCTTCAGGATTCCCACACAATCCACCCTAACAACACAAAACACAGCACAATTCCATCGTTTAGTAAGTTCAGCAGCTTTAACAGTCTCTCGAGTAGTTTCATGAGCCAAAGTCAAAAGCCTTGAGGTAATTATGGAAACGTTATTAGATTTCTTTTTATTTACATGAAATCTATGACCTTTTTCAAGGTTTCATTCAACCCTGCCTAATTTGGATGATGAATCATGGCAGAAAGGCATATGAAAGCATGAATAAAACAGAAAGTGCAATATAATTCTGGTAAGCATTCAATTTAGAATCACAGCTCTTCATTCTTCCATCCCCAGGGCGAGATCTGTGTTTGCAGGATTATTGCTTCAAAATATTCTGCATTCACTTAAAGAAAGCAGGAGTACAAGAAAACTTACTGTAGTCATATTATTTATGTTCAGTGGGACTTGGAAGTGACAGATAAGTCCTCCCTTAAGTGTGGTCCTAGGGGAGATGTACAGGGCCAGGTGAGTGATGCAGTGGTGGCTTTCAGACAGGCTCCATGCAAAATGATTTAAAGCAAAAAACAGCCAAAAAAACCAAGAACAGCAGCAGCAAACACAGCCTGATGTGTTAAAAAGAAGAATACTGCAATTGACCCAGGATTTTGGGTTCTGTGTCCCAAAAGCAGAGGGACCACCTGCTGTCTGCTGTGGGTACACTGAATTACAAGCAAGAGCCCAGGAGCAGAGGGAGGAGAGCGCCGAGATGTTCAGACTTGAACTGTAGCCCATCCAGCAGAGGAAATCGGTTCCCAAACCCCAGCTGGTGAAGGCAAACGCTCCTGCAGGAGCTACTCACGCCAGTGTCATGTTGTTGCTCGGGTCCAGCCCCACCTCGATGACGGTGGTGCCCTCGATGTCCACCTCCTTGCAGGGCGTGGTGTTCCTGCCCGTCACCCGGCACGCCTGGTAGAACCCGTGCGGCTTCACGCGCCCCGAGTCATTGCCCACGAACACCTGCAGCACCACGGGCTCGTTGTGGCCTTCCAGCTGCAACACCCAGGGGGAAAATCAGCACGGGAACCTCTGCTTTAATTGTTATCATCCATAGCTGGCTTCTAAAGCAGCCTCAGTGCTGCCTGCCTTCAGACAGAATCATCCCAACTGTGACTATTCCCCCTTCCCCCCAGCATCTACACCCACCAGCCAGCCAAGAAAGAGAACATTTCCTGGGGCTGATTCCAGAGGTGAAGAGGTTTTGCTGCTCAATATGTGCATTCCAGGACCCCACCTTCATGCCAGACACATTCTGAAATCCTCGTGAAACCAGATTAGAATTTTCCAATAGCTGCAAAACCCCTGAAGGAGTCAGAACGGGATGAAAGGGAAGCAGAGGGAGAAATGGGTGATTGAATGGTGCAACCGTCCAACTGCATAAGCCCAGCTTTCCTTCAGACATCAAAATAAAAATTAAAAATGGTAACCTGACATCTCCTATTTAAAAGGTAACAATGTCAGGATTCACTGGAATGCTTCATAAATAAGAGCAGGTCAGACATTTTAACATCCTCCTGCAACCTCATGTGCAAGCCAAAATTATCCCAGAACTTGTCAGCAAAAAATACATTCATTTCTGTAACTTCAACATCCTGGCATGAAATGGTTTGTGGCCTCTTAATGTTTTTTTATTAGTGGGATCCCACTGGTGCCACAGACTAAAAATACTCTGAGGTAAAAGAAGTCCTGAAGGAAACTTGGACATTGCATTACAAAGGAAATTCTTCTTTTTAGGAAATAGTTAACAAAAATACTTCAAGTGAAAAAACCGTAAGATTGTTGCCAAATTCGCAGGCCAGAGATGGAAATTCCTTGCCAGAGCATTCTAGGAGATAAAATGAGTATTTTAGTGTTTTCCCTGAGACACATTTGTTGCTCAAGGCCTGGAAGCTCAGGCAGCACCTTTAGAAAGAAGCTCCAGGTTCAGTAGTGAGAGCAGAATCCTCTGCAGAATCTCTTGGGGAATTATTCCTTGACACACTAAAAAATGTAATTCTGAAGTTTGTAGTAAGTTTGAATAAAGAAAAAAATAAATAAACCAGCAAATACTGGTAAGATCATTGTGTGCTCATGTCCAAGAGGAGCAAATAGCAAATGTGACTGTCACAGATGAGCAGAGCCCCAGGATCTCTGGAGTTGGCCCAGCACAGGCATCCACATGGGAACCAAGGGCACAGCTCACAACAAAGGGCTCAACCCTTGATTAAGGCTTGGTTATACAATTTTAATGTTGCACACTGAGTGTTCTAAGTCACCAGGATCAGTTTTATTTAAATGGCCACTGAACCTGCTTCCCTCCTCGGCCTGTGTCAGGGCCACGCGCCGCAGCCGCTCCCAAGCCTGATCTCTGCTGAGCACCAACATCTTTACACTGCTCCTCCCCACCTTGAAACCCCACAAACTAAACAAAATCTCCCTTGTCTGTAACGTATTTTTTTCCCACCAGCTCAGATTTCCTGAAGATTCACTGACTCATTTGTCTGTGCAGCCCTGGCAGAGTTTTATCTGCAGGGTATGAACTCCTCTGCCTACTGGTAAAGCAAACTGGAACTTCCAGGAATTCAGTAACATGAGACTCTTTGGAAGAGAATTTTCACTGATGGGTGCTAGAGGGAACTGGGAAAGGAGTTAAAAGGAAATTCAGATGAACAAAGGCCCATTAAGAAAATCCACATAAATGAGCACTAAATCCCCATAGCAACAGGCCGATATGAATGGATTCTTTTCTTATGAAACTTTACTGGAGTTCTGCATTACTCAGGAGGACTGAGTGAAGGGCTGCTGGTGTTCCTAACACTGCTGAACAGGACTTTGAAGATAAGCCTACTTCTGTATTCTGTCAGCAGCAGTCAGCACAAATTTTAGGGCTGTGTCACAAACATCTCCTTGTGGACCTGGTTAGCTTGGGTTGAGAACTGCTCTGCTGCTTTCTCAAAGTGACATAACTAAGAAAAAATATTAAAATGTCTTTCACCCTCCTTATCTATATGATAATAAACCTATCTGTCTACTCTCTCAACCTGCTCACCACACTCCTCCCAGTATGCCCAGTGTGCCATTTGCCATGGTGCCAGTATGGTGCTGGCGTGGTGACTCTCAAAATCACTTGTGGGAGGATATTTAACATCAGTTCTTCTGTTTGCCACCCTAAGCCTTGCTCCTGGTAAGCCTCTCTACCATTTCCATCAGGAAACCTTCCCAAGCCCTCAAGTTCTCCAACTGCTTTCTCCAGGCTACACGGGAAAGAAACAAGACTTAGAAATTCCCACTCTGTGCATTCATGTGCAGTGCCTGGAGGGACAGCCGCAGTCCTTCCTGGGCAGAAATGTCAAAGATCTCCTGGTAACCTCCTTGTGCTTCTCCTCAGAGCAAGAGGCCTCCAGCACCTGAATTTTAAGCATCAAAGTCCATAGAGTAAACAGGCTGCAACTGTCAAGGGTGCACATAAATGCTGCCTCATTCCTTGCCCCCATTCTGCAGTTCTAATCCACATCTACCTCCACCTGTACCACGCTAAACACACTGGGCAGTACGGACTGTAAAACACACCTCAGTGAGATCTCCATGACTCACCTGAAAGTCACTGTACACAGCAACTCAGATACTGCTGAATTAACAACAAGAGCAAAAAACACGAAGCAATTGAAAAAAAAAATTACAACAAAACCAAAACATCCCCTTTACAATTTATTTTTTAAATGAAAACGGGTTTTATGTCTTTACTACCACTGGACAATGATGGCCCACTGTCACCAGCCATCCAACAGCCAGAGCATTTCACTATCTCACTTTTGTAGGCATGGAATGTCTCTGCATTCACACAGCCCATGGAACTGCCGCCTAGCAGGACGTGCACCCCAGATTTTAAACCCCTGCCTCGACATGCAGCTTCCCTCCTGCTGTAACTCTGTGACGCCAGCAGGACTCGTGAGCTGCAAGAGAGATCCCGTGCAGCCCCTGCAGCCAAGCCTGCCCCTGAGCACTGCAGGGCCTGCCCTGGGCAGGCAGTGCCCCTGGCCAGCCTACCTTGACGGTGGGAAAGCCCTGCTGCGTGCGGTCCTTGACGGAGCCCCGGCTGCCCTCGGTCAGGTACCGAGCCCTGTGCTGGGTCTCCGGCTGCACCATGATCTTCAGCTCCTTCCCCTCACTCTTGGTCGGGTACTGACCACACAACATGGGGGTCTTCTTCCCTCCAGCTCCCTTCTGGTTCTCTGATGCTCTGAGAAGTCAAAACACACCATCAAGAAGATGTGAGAAGCAGCTCCCCGGTAAAAACACTCCAAATCACAGCAAAGCTACAAAGGCAAAGAGTGCATATTAACTGCTGGAAGATTTGTAGTTGGGAGCAAACTTTGGAATTCTCTTTCTGCCAGAGGAGACCTGCAGGAGGAAGAGGAACGGTGCCTCCCTGCCTCCTCCATCCAGAGCACATGGGAACTGCTTTTCAGAGAGCAAACATAAAGGAAGGGAAAAGCAATTAGCATTAAACGATGTTAACGAACAGAAGGCGGTTCATAACCTGCTTTTTCAGAGTCTATGACACAGCCTGAGCAAGCTGCTTCGCTGCTGTGACAAACACACACGTACACACACACTGGATGGATTTAAGGTTAAATGACACTTCTTTAAACAGGAAAATAGCCTCATGCCTGTCTCCACCTCAACCTGTACATCCATGCAAACTCCAGCTCCGATTGCTGTCTAAACAGAGTGACCAGCTCATGCCAAAACCCAATTAGTTATTGTTAAAGCTCTGGCATAATTGCACCAATGTCAAATCAGTGTATGCACAAGGCCTTTCTTTCCAGGTGGGTTCCATAGGATGTAGTGGCTTGTTCTCAGTTCCATAATTAAAACCAGGATGAAGGAGCCCTCCCAAGTCTAGCAGCACATGTTGTGTTTCCTTTAGAGCACAATGGGAAATAACCCTTGATCCTGCTCAGACCAGGATTTGGTAATGAACCTGAAGACCATGAAACTCCTTTCCCACTAGGAAATGTGAATGTGCCACAGTACATGATGCAGGCAGGGAAAGGGCTCCATGATTCATGCAAATGTCATATTCTTTCCTCCTAGAAAAACACGGTTTCTAACAGCTAATGCCTGGGAAGAAAGCAGTTTTAAATAACAAGTGTGGATTGCTTAAAAAACAAATCCCGTTTCAACGTGCAAGTTACTGAAGTAATCTATCCAGGATTTTTTTCCTTCTCAAAAAGGGTGAAAACGTTTTTTTCAAAATTGTTCCCTGGGAGCTCTGCCACTGCATGAGGCTCTCCCTGACCTTCTCACCTACCAGCTGACAAACACGATGCAGCCCCTTCCTGGAGCTCTGGCTGTGCACAGAGCAGCCCCTGGGCACAGCAGCAGCCCCTCACTCCAGCCCTGCCCCTTTTCCTGCCCAAGAAAGCTCAGGCACTTTGCCCCCACAGTCCTAAAGCCATGGAATCATCACACGGTGTGGGTTGGGAGAGACCTTCAGAGCTCATCCAGTGCCACCCCTGCCATGGCAGGGACACCTCCCACTGCCCCAGGCTGCTCCCAGCCCTGTCCAGCCTGGCCTTGGTGCTCTGGGCACCTGTGCCAGGGCCTCCCATCCTCCTTGTAAAAAACTTCCTCCTTTGACCTACACTAAATCAACCCTCTTTTAGTCTAAAACCATCACTCTCTGCCTAATGCAACACATCCTATTTGTCACACTCCTATTCTCATTGAGCCTTCCAAAACCTTTCACCACACATAAAAAAGGGTTAAAACAGAGAGAGTTGGTGCTTTGGATGACTCCCATTCCCATTTTCTGTCCATGAAGGTCAAGCACTTCACTGTGGACAGCGCAGCCACAGCCCTGGCTGCCTCCAATACTTATCCTCAACCAGTACCCAGCAGAGGCAGGAACTAGATAAACACTAGCATAAAACTCTGCAAAATAACATTAATACCATCTTACAGTAAACCTATCTTCCTGCCAAGCAGTCCTGATTACTCTGCTCAGTGTAGTCACTGGGCAGACTGGGATATAGGTGAATTTTGAAGGGAGATGTTGGAGAGCTGGCCATCAAAATGAAATTCACCTTTACCACTCCCGGTGCCACATTTCAGCAGTGACATTAACACTGACCTGTCCAGAACTATATCCTTAAATCCCAACTACCTTAGGTGTCAGCATATTCATATTTTATCATTATCGTATTCATGCAGAGAGATGCTCCTCACAATTATTTTGGTCTTTTCTCTAGAAACTTAATCATTATTTTCAGACAACTAGCCAAACCTGGAGGCAATTTAAACCCTTCACCAGAACTTCTAAGTGGTCTTTCTCCTCAAAATACAGGATGAATCACTTAATACATCCTTTCAATTAATGAATTCATTTTAATTCAGTTTATTCATACAGCAAGTATTCACACTTGTACATTTCATATGCACACATAGTTACCAGACAAAATGTCATCTAATCTAGCACTTCTATCTGTTAAAAGGAATAAATGTAAGTGGCAAATGCTATGAATCGACTCAAACAGATCTCCTGAGGAGTTTGGCCTGGTCCTGTTCTCAGGGCAGACCTGAAAGTGAAAGTGAGACCACGGAAACCTGAGTCTGCCCTGAATCACCACCAATTCATCCCCTTCTAAAAAGGCTTTCACAAATTCCAAGTTTCCACAGGAATATATTCTTTCTCTTCCTGGCTTTTGACAACAACTGTCTCTTTAGGGGCAAATGCCATTTCCATTCACCACAGAGCAGAGGAGTTTTCCTTGCTCTTTTCTTTAAGCCAAAAGTAAATGAACTCCCTTGGCTGAGCTCCACCAGGCTGGGAAGCTTTAAAAACTCCAGTCACTACGGTGACCCAGATTTGTACGGCCAAGTCTCCATATTCCAACAGCAAAATTAAGTTTTCTAAGACCTTGGCCACTTCTTATCCCACAGGTTTATTTCCAAGGACGGTTCTGTTACTTGGGAGTTTTCCTGCAGCTCAGTTTGGCCTGAGACACATAAGGAAAACTATTCCACCTTCTTCCCCTGTGCACTCACAGACCCCACAGATTTCCCTGGTCAGCCCAGTGGTTTTAGGGGATCTTGTTCTGTTTTCAGACCGAGATCTCACATATTCTTCCAGAGTTTACAAAACCTCCCTGAGATCACGCTTACAGTGGCACAGCTCTTGTCTTTCCTTCTGTAAGGACCAGCCTGGTCCCTCGGAGCTGGGGGAGGCACCTTCCTCATCCCAAGCTGCCCAGGGCCCACCAGGTACTAATATTTCACTTCATGACCATTGATTTTGGCTGGTGAAAACCCCGAGGCCAGAGGCCACCATGCCCAGGAAGCAGCAGCACACTCAGGACATGTTCTCAGAACTGCTTTTCACAGTGAAATTTTAAGTATGGAACTGCACTGACCCTGGGAATACAGACTCCAGGCTCTTTCCCTTTGGGATATGAGAAGTTCATCATCTTTGCCATCAGTCAAATTTTAATATTCACCGTTGCTGTGATGAACGTCAGAACGTACTGCAAGCACAGACATAAAAGTGAAACCAAAATGCACTCCTGCCCCCAAAAATGCCCAAATTAAAAGAGCCAAATCTATCCATTTGACCCCTTTGAAGGTACTAAAGAAGCAGCAAGTTAAAAAAATAGAATAAAAAAAGAAATGCATCAACACACTCTTGCAAACTGATGGAACTGTCCTCTTTGAGCAGCTACTGGAATGCATTTAGTGAACAGTGTGAAGTGGGAGATGAGGGGCCACCACCCAGGCGTGCCCAGGCAGACACACGCACACGACCCAGAAGCACAGAGAGAAACGGCATTAGAGATTTATTTCTGAAAAAATCAAATACAGAAGTGAATTCACATGGAAAAACCAAAAACTGGTTCACCATATTGTCTTAACATTTCATAAAAAAGTAAAGCAAGTGATAATTTAAATGATGAGAAATCCTAATGAGACATTAACCATTACCTTCTACTCCCATCCCTATCTCTATTTGACAAATAGAGCAGCAGGTGAAGTGTACAGACTGAAATCCTCACATAAAATCCTGCAAAAAAACATTCAGGGTGCACCAACTCCACTCTGCCTTTCTTTTTAAATACATTTTCATTGCCATTTTATAAATGGAATTATGTGGCCTTTAGGGAATTTCACTTAAAGAACAGATGAGCTCATCAGCGCTGCATTTAATTGCTGCAGGAGAGTTTAGCTTTATCTTCTAAATAAAGGTTAACAAGTCTAATGAGAACTTATCACAGAATCATGGAGTGGTTTGTGTTGAAAGGGACCTTCAAGAGATCCAGTTCCACCTTCTGCCATGGGCAGGGACAATTTCCACTATCCCAGGTTGCTCCAAGCCCTACTGTCCAACCTGGCCTTGGACACATCCAGGGATCCAGGGACAGCCACAATTCCTGGGGGCAGGAAGAACTTATTCTGGGCAAGGACATGACAGGGACAGCAGAGAATGGAGGGGTTTATGTGAGAACCTAAGCAGAACATTTGCCGGGGCACGGGGGCACTTTTATTAGTTTCGGTTTACATATGGAGATAGAATGTTTTTTCTTTAAAAAAAAAATTTAAAAAAAAAAAAAAAAGCAGATACCAACCCATTTCCTGCTTTTGAGTTGCTTTTGCTGTCCGTGCTGAGCTGAGAAAGGACATAGTGAGGCGCTTTGGCACTGTCGGCATCAAAGATATCCATGTTGGACTCTTCGCAATCTCGGCGTTTGATCCCTGGCCTCTGCTTTGGGTTGCGCTTGCGCGATTTACGTGGCACCTCAGTGTTATCATTGTAGGAACTGGTACTCATGTTACTGAAGTTGGAGGGTGAATCCTCCATCCACATACTGCAGCTCTGCTCTGACTCCAATCCACAGCCCTCATCCTGGCAGGACATCCGGCTGTTGTCCAGCAAGTCCTCGGGAGGTGGCGAGATGTAGAGGACAGTGTGGCGCTTCGGCGTGGCCGCCGGCGGCGGGGCTGCGGTACCGGGAAGCTGCTGCTCACTTACCCCTCGGCTACTTACCCCCACGGCCGCGGAGCAGCTCTCCACTTGCATAGCCTTGCTGTCGGTGACTGAGGTAGAGTAAATGGTAGGGCTGGAAGAGGTGGTAAAGGAGCTGCAAGCACCGCCCATGGAGGAAGAGGAGGGAGCTGAAGAAGCATCTGCGGTGTACAATTCACAAGTAAATACAGGACCCGTGGCGCGGCGTGCGCTGGCTATAGCAGTCCCAGTGAGATCAAGGTGATTTAGGAACCGATTGCTTTCCCCCAAGAAATGTTTGGAATTTGGTTCAGTTTTGGAATGGAAGTGCTTAAAGCAACACAGCCTGGCCAATGCTTTGGAAATGTCCAAACGAGTCTTAGCACGATCCACTGGAATCGAATTTTTTCTTTACGACTTAACGTTAATTCGTACAAATGGCTGCGAGTAAACAGAGCTTTCATTGCCTCAGCTGGACTAATTATTGGTGTAGAAGCCATTTCGTCTAAAATAGCCCCAAAGCAAAGTGCTTATAATCCACATTCAACGCCAATTAAACAATTTATTGTTGGAAATTTTTAATTTTTTGTTTTTGAAAAAGATGGGACTGTGCTTAGCCACAAAATATTAAAATAAGTTTCTAACCTATGAAGCAGAGAACTACAGGTCATTTTTAATGCAGACACTCCCTGCTTCAGAGGCAAATCCTGGAATAAAAATATGAGAAAATAAATGAGAAAAAGAGCTGCTGATTATTCCATCATAAATGAGAAATAAAATATAAAATCAACTGAGTTGGTAGGCAAAATGGAACTGGTATCAGTCACTATGAGCGAGCTGTTGATTTCGAAGGTTCAGAACAGGGATGAAATATCTGTGTTGGAGACACGCTGGTCCAAGGACTGGGAATTTCTGTAATTTGACTTCTTCAGTCACTGGGACCAATTTCTCTCAGACTTTATTGGTCCCTTCCACAGAGATGGCTTGGGACAGACCTCTGAAAAAATCACATTAAACACTGTGACTACAAGTTCTGCAGAGGTCCCAGAGCTCAATTTGGTTTAGAAACATGAAAATTATTACACCAAACCCCTGAAGATTTCTGGAGAACACCACTGAAGAATTTTAAAGGAACAAATCAATGGCATACATAAGGTAAATATCCCAGAGGAAGCAGGCCATTCAAACATTTGTATTTATTTCAATCAGCTGTAGCTCACTGAGGAATAATTGAATTTTATAGTCAGATTTTAGCTTTCTGTGAGGAGATCCTGTTTTCTGTATTTCTGCACTGCCACCCACACCTGATAAACCAGAAGCACTGAAATAACCTAATTTTGGAAACAAATTGTGCATTAAATATATACATAATAATCCAATATGTTTGTTCAGCAACTTACTGCTGTCATACAGGTAATCTCTGTTATAAGAGGAACACGATGTTTTCCTTTTTGCTTCCTGGGATTTTTTTAAAATCCAAAATATTACAACAGTCTCTCAAGTCTAATTAAAAGATTTATAGACTACTGGACTGTTAGTCTATACTGTATAGTCTATACTGTTTTAGTTATTTAAAAGTAACAGAATGAAGCATATTCAGTCATGATACATACATTTAATTAACAGTAAAACTCAACCAACTTGCCTATACTGGGAATTACTGGGAGTATCAATGACTGATAATAAAGAGTTTTTCAACCACTGCTGCTTCCTACAGCTTTCCTGTACTAAATGAATGTAAAAGCAAACTTACACCACTTCAGACTGTCAAATTTAGAGGTCATTAGTTTAACAATACACTACTCTGCCTTCCCTGAGCCTCCCAGTGAACCAGGAGCAGCTGAATGATACCAGTTCCATTTTCCAGCTTGTTCTTTGGCAAATACAGTGGCTGAAATTGGAGAATTCAGTCACTTTGCATTCCAATTTAAAGGCAAATTTCTCCTTTCTATATCATGCATTAATTCAATGCTTCTTTCAAAAACATTTATAGGATTGGCAAGAACTATCAAATCTAGGTATTCATTTCAGTGACAATATTTAGAGCTGATTTGCAGCCACTTTGAGTTGAGACAGCCCGTCGCTGTTTGGGATGTTTGCTTTGGCAAAGGGATTGGTTTCCATCCACCATTGATACCTCAGAGAAGCAGAAGTGAGTGTGCCCAGGGACCCCTGGAGCACAGGAGCTGCAGGGCTGGGGCTGCAAAGGCAGAAATGAGCCCGGGGCAGAGCCCGGGGCAGGGGCAGGGACTCGGCCATGGAATCTCTGATGGAACACACATGGAACAGGCAGCAGGGCTCCGGCTGCAGGATCCTCCTCCAACAGATTAAAGGCACATTTACACAACCACACCAATCCTGGGAGTGCAAGGAAACCTTGGACACTCCGGGCTCAGCTCTGCGTGGGCCACGGACACCAAGCACTGCGCTCAGCTGGGGCTTCAGTGCATCTCCTGGCCAGGAATGCAAAACCTGCACTTTTCCCTCACTTTCCTAGGGAAAAAAATAAATATATCACTGAACCAAATGCTTTTCAGCACAAAGCTAAAAGAGCTGGTGATGGTAGTGCTGTTTTAGGGTGCAGCATTGTGAAATATTATCATTGTGGCAATATCATCATTATTGCTCTCCAAAACAATTTCTCCTTTCCTTTAAGTTAAAAAGCACTTGTATGTACAAATACGTGTATGTGGGCTTTTACACTTTTAAAAAGTAAATAAACATTGTCCATTATCAATTGGTTACACTCTCCTCCATTTACCAGAGATACCCCTGTGCAATGGTAAGATTAGATTTTGGAATAAACCCAAATTCAACAGTAATGGCAAGAAAACCTCTCTTTAGCCTTATATAATAAATCAATGCCATTACTATCCATACATAAAGTATGATAAATATTACAGCAAATTGAATAAACTGGCTGTACTGGAACAGTCAAATACACAGATTTAAAAACTCTTGGAGGCATAAATTAGAAAAATTAGTAATTGCTTCAGTTACATTTTAAGTTATGAAAATAGTAAGAAACAGTGAAATCTGTGTTTTCTCAGAGTATGCAGGCCTTGAGCCAACTCATCTTCCTTTGAACTAATAAATAAACTGGGTCAATCAAATAAGAATTCACCACGTTACTGCAATGAATAAACAGTGCTTTACATGGCTCCCATTTGGGTCCATCATTTTATTGCAAAGCCAGTGACATTTCTATCTGACACCAACAGAGATTTCTTGGATGAACATGCTGCATTTTGGAAAACAAGTAATTCGGTAATTTTAACTTGTGTAGCTTTACAAGGTGAGAGCACACACACCTTCCCAGCTTTGAGCACTCCTTTTATTTTACTTTCTTTAGACACAGGTTAATGGGCACGGGCACAGGTGGCTCATGGTTTGCAATTTATACTTTGCAATTTAACAGTCATTTAGCAATGACAAATACATAGATGTATTTTTAAGTGAGTAGGTACATTTTGAAATAGAAGACTGAATATATTTCATTTAACACAGTCTCAAAATCAAACTTGCTTTCAGAGCAATGACACTGAACAGAAGCCAAGAGCTCATCATGGCAAGTGTGCAGCCTCAGGAATAGAAATGAAATGTGCATCAGCATCACAAGGTGGGTTTTTTTCTCATTTTTTAAATAAAAAACAAGAGAAAAGAATATTCCACATTAGAGCAACTGTGATCACTGTTGAAACTAAACCTCCTGAAGCTCTTCACTGCCATCACTGTAACATCAAAGGGAAATGGAAGAAGTAATTCAGATTTTGTTGCCTGTGATACAAGTTTTTCTCCCCTAAAAGAGGCAGAATTGTATCAGTCAGTCCAGCACAAGGACTAAAAGTAAGGGAGCACATAGAAAAGAGTGTCCCTGTGAGCAAACCAGGGCAGGCTTTTTCTTTTCAGTACCAAAAAACCAAAGAAAATTTATTACCTCCTGCATTAGCAACCAAGGCAATGACATATTTTCTATATCCTATTCTCCTGTGAAGTCAAACAAGGCATTCAAGCCTCTAAAAAAAAGGTTTGGAAAGGCAGGAGAGAGAAAAAAAAAAATCACTGCTTGGCATTAAGGGAGTCTTTTTAGGTAACACCTCTGTGGAGCCAATCCTGAAATCCTTGTTCACTCTTTTCAAATACCCTTAAACACAACAAGGATTACCGAGTCCTCAAACAGAAACAGTGTCCTGATGACTTTGCTTTTTAATTGCAAAAGCAAGTCATTTCCCAGACTGGAAATCTTCAGATTATATAAACAAATAAACTGCAGATATTTTTGGTTTCACAAGTTTTCCAGTCACCTGTGCATGGACAGCCAGGACAAGCAAAAAGCCATTAAAGAACTAATTTCTTTCTTCTGAACTTCCCCTGCATTCCAGGGTATCCTCTACATTCTGTGCAGAAAACAAGTGTCAAAAATGAAAACTCACCCACAGAGTGAGCATTAAGTGGTGTATAAGCTTAATATGTGAAGCATAACTTTGATTAAATGTGTTGATTTATCTAACATGTCATGTGCTTGGTAAGATTTTTTTATGTTAATTGGTTTATTTGAACCCCTGGACACAGAAGAACAATTTCAGGACCGACCCAGAAGGAAACTGCAGAATTTCCACCATCAACCTTTGTGTTGTCAAAGGTTTCAAAGGTAAAACCCAGAACTTACAAAGTGGCTGCAAACCTGCTTTCAACACCTCACATGCCAAACTTGGGGTTCTACTTTTCTTCTTCTTGTATTACTGATGTCATGTCAAAAACTTTTCCAAAAAGTTTAGTTTCAAATCAGTATCAATCCACTATTCAGAAATAAACAAAAAAAATTAAAAAAAAAAATTAAAAAAAAAAAAAAAGAAAGAAAGAAAAGAGACTTATGAAGAAGTCTGAAAACAAGACCGACCTATACCCTGGGTGAGATTGGATGGGTTAAGTGTCTCTGGCACTATTTGTCTTCACTATTGACAGACACTGTCACACAACCCACCACTCGATGCCTGTCTCTGAATGGCGAAGCTAGAATGCAAGTTAAGTGTATTAATAGAGAAAAAAACTAGCATCCCAGCAAATATCATAAAGCAATCCAATTCACCAGTTATTAAACACACTCAGATTCAAGATAGGTAGGTTAATTTAATTTACATTAAGCCCAACAGTGCAAATTCCCCTTTACATTCCCATGCTG